ATGTATTTTAGTTTTTTAAACTATTAATTTTAAATCATTAGAAATGAGATAAAAATGAAAATTATGAAACACATTACCCTGGTGTGATTAATGAGGTTGTTTCATTAACACAAGAAGTTAAGTCTAAATCTGTAGCACTCAGCAACTGATTAAATTGCAAAAATAGAATTTAGTGAAACAGAGAAATGATCCAATTGAAAAGACTTTCTTCGGTTATTATACAGCCATTGGCAGGATCAAACATATCTTCCAAACTTGCTATTGATTTCAAAGTAACATCAAATGGGATCTGGAAAAAAAAAAAAAAACAAAACACAAACCAGGAAAAAAAATAACTTTATTAAGCTTTTAGTCACCAAAATGTACACGTATACAAATATCTCTATATAAAAGCCAGATTTCTGACCTAAAACCAATGAATAAGTTAGAAATATTAATTGCCTCAACTGAAATCTGTAGTTAATGAATTACAGAATCACAGAGTGGTTGAGGTTGGAAGGAACCACCAGAGGTCATCTAGTCCAACTTCCCTGCTTAAGCAGGGTCACCTGGAGCACATTACTCAGGATTGTGAGCAGGCAGCTCTTGGGTATCCCCAGTGAAGGAGACTCCACAGCCTCTCTGGATGACCTATTCCAATGCTCAGTCATCTAAATGATCTCTAACCAAGTCCTCCTCAACCAAGGGAGAGACTTCCTTTCTCCAGACCTTCTCCCTGGTCTCTTGGGTCAGGGATTCCTGAGGGCTGGTTTTGACATTAAAGACTGAAGTAAAAAAGGCCTTCAGTATCTCTGCATTCTCTGCATCCTCTGTCACCAGGGTCCCCGCTCCATCCACTAGCAGGCCCACATTTTCCCTAGTTTTCCTCTTATTATTATTGATGTATTTGAAGAATTGTTTTTGACATCCTTAGCCAGATACAATTCCATGTCCATGGACATGGAGAACTATTGAGCTGATTTAGACACTAAGGAAAACTAACTAAAGAAAGAGAAGCTTGCAACAAGCTATCTAGGGAGGTTAATTTTTAATGCGGTTCTTTTATTTATAAATTTAACACTTAAGATTGGAACTCCCAAACACTATGCTTTATTATCTACCTTGAAGTAGATAGCTATTCATTAAGTAGCTTTAAAAACAAGCCAGCTGATCAATTTTCATTCGTAAAACACGAACAGTCAGATACTTTTAAATGAATAATTCAATAAAAATGCACTTTTTCCACTTGCTGGATCAAAAGCACTGTAGCATACACAAACAGAAAAAAAGAGAATCAAAGAAGAGAAGCTGGAAACATGATAGGAGTTAAAGTGTGACAGCTCAGAGAATGAGAAAACAAATATCACAAATTAGAACTGACTTTGTCCAATTAATTCACAAGAAGACAAGCAACAAAAAAGTGGTGGTGGGGGGAAACATGATGTAAAACTACATATAAGCAATGTATCTGCTGCCTTCTCCTGTGTGCTTGAATACAAAGGGAATGTATTACCCTATGGTATTCATAGTCCCACTCTGAGCTTTCCACCTCCAGCCAAGAAGACTGGGTAATGCACACATACAGCTTGCTTGGAATTTTGGATATACTATGTAGAAATATGCTACACATAACGAAGTGCTGAGCTCTCTGCAAGTTCTGTTGGCATCAGAGAAGAACGAAGATACTCAGCATCTTGACGGATTAGGCTTCAGTTGCTCAACCAAATCTACCATATCTAACAGAATCTTATTTTGAAGTCTCTATCTGAAACTTTGTGATTGTTCCATTGTTGCATCTGTTGAAACATTTTAGCATTTAGCCTGAGTGAAACAGCGCAGTTAACATCGTATTCTTACTGAAAGGACAATGCTAAATCTGCTCCCTCGCTTTCATCGTAGACCCACAATTAAAAGCAGGCAAAGTGAAGAGGGGTTCACGAGAACTTAAAACAGGTCCAGGAGATCCATGTGATTCTCTGAAAGCTCAGCTGTACCTACCCCTAGGTAACTGCCAAATCTCTGTACCATTGAAGATAGTTCTGTGGGACTGTGAAAAGTGTAGCTGTGGAGAATGAATGTGTGTGTATTTTTATGCACACAAATGGAGTGGCATGAAGGTCTGGGAGTCACTTAAGAGAGACCTTCAAGATGGATAACAAGGGGTGACAAAAATGGTGCAATATGCATAAAACGGAAGTATGCACTCCTAGGTACCAGACTGCAGGATGCACAGGACAGCATTACAGATAGGCTACTACCCAAACTGTTCCCAGATAAAACTCAGGATTCTTTTGCAGTAGGAAGAGCTATCAGACTGGAACAGTACAGTGGATGCCTTACACATTATCATTCCATTGTGAACAACTACAGGCAAAATATTTGAGGATGAGTGGCGTGTGTGCGCGTGTGTGTGTGCGCGTGTGTGTGATGTAGATTCATAGAATGCCTTTGGGGTTGGAAAGGACCTTAAGATCATCTAGTTCCAACCCCCCTGCCACGGGCAGAGACGCCTCACACTAGACCATGTTGCCCAAGGCTCTGTCCAACCTGGCCATGAACACTGCCAGGGATGGAGCAATCACAACTTCATTGGGCAACCTATTCCAGTGCCTCACCACCCTCACTGTAAAGAACTTCTTCCTTATATCTAACCTGAACTTCCCCTGTTTAAGTTTAAACCCATTACCCCTTGTCCTACCACTAGAGTCCCTGATGAGGAGTCCCTCCCCAGCATCCTTGTAGGCCCCTTTCAGATACTGGATGGCTGCTATGAGGTCTCCACGCAGCCTTCTCTTCTCCAGGCTGAACAGCCCCAATTTTCCCAGCCCTTGTTCAGCTTCATAAGGTTGGCATTGGCCCAATTCTCAAGCATGTCAAGGTCCCTCTGGATGGCATCCCTTCCCTGCAGTATACCTATCAACACACAGCTTAGTGTCATCAGCAGACTTCCTGAGGGCACACTCAATCCCACTGTCCAGGTCACCAGCAGTGTGTAACATATTTTACAGTGGATTCCAAAATCTTTCTTGGACTTCCTTGAGCCCTGGCAGCTGTGAACCTTCCCTGATCCCCTTAGAGTGGCTGAGAACACTGGACAATATTGCTGCCTGCCATGGGGTGGTTCCCATAGTCTCCTCTGGGGTACTGACTACAACTGGGTAACAAGAATACAATAGCACAGACAAAAAAATGGCATGCTATCTCTCAGAACATGTCATGGGCAAGGCAGAGAAAGCTAAAGAAAATAGAAAGCAAGCCTGAATAACTGTAAAGACACTGGGATGGAAGGAAATTACATTTGGCAGTGGTATAGAAATTCACTGCAGTCTGTGCAAACAATGACCAGAGAATGGTGCATAATCTAGATGAACCCATTGTAAGTGAGATTCATTTTAATACAGTTTTGTATGTATAAAAAGGTAATCCTAATAAACAGTGAAGATATTCACAGTTTGTAATCATGCACATTTGTATTTCATTTGTAAACATGAAAAAATAAATCCCAAATGGAAAGCCCAACAATGTATGAGAAAAAAATGGGAAGATACGTAACACTATAATCCATGTTTCAGTTTAACTGAACAATTGCTTTACTATTAAGGAGAAGAGCATACCTCAGTTACTGGCAACGACAGGGCTGGAACAACAGACAGCAGTGCTTTGACTTCAGATAAACACTTTTTGGCCATTTCCTAGTAGTATAAAACAAGACAAATCTAATGCTGTACTATCAGCCTCCTCTGATAAGAGAACAGATTACTTAGCTTTAAAACATTTTTCAGAACACTCAAGTTTTAGGTTATTTTAATTGAATTCACAGCAAAATCACCTTAGCTGATGAATATAATTTTTCCGCAACACAAATAGTTGTGTTTGCTGTACAAACGTACATGCCCTAACCTTGCAGTTTCAACTGAGGCAAAATTGCTCCTGGCGCAGGTATTAAATCCCGTGAGCGAGCATACTTTTGCTATGTGTTTACTAAAGATGTTATAAACAAACACTCTGACAGCATGATATTTATGCATGTATAATCCATGGCATGTTAATCTTATTAGTATTCTCAACATTGTTTTTCCAATTACTGACATATATTAATGAAAGTTTGTGCAAAACCCTTCAGGTAATCAGAAGCATCCACTAAAGGATGGCTCTGTCTACCCTCCTGAAAACACTGTGATTGGCCAAAACATTGTTCTCCAAGCTGGTCAAAATACAGCCTTGTAATAATGGCACAACGCACAATTGTCACTGTTTCATAGCATCCATCAGACGAAATGACAGCCTCTACATCATTAATCATTTCATATAATAGATATAAAGAGAATCCTGTCATATGATAAATGTCTCCCACTTTGAAAATAAACGTCTATTTTGCCTTGGCATTTATCAAGCAGCAGTTACGCTGTGGCAACATTCTATTCCAATGACATTATCTCAAACAGACCACATCAAAAATTCTGAAATTACCTCGGGGGGGGGGGGAGAGATTTGGTTGTGGACCATATTCAGCCTTACTAATAAAAAGAAAAGAGGAAGGGGGCATAGAGAAAATGAAAATAAATTCACTGCCAGTTTTAGGCCTCCCTCAATAATGTTATGAGAAGGTTCTTATTTCAGAAACCGTCAATGTCCATTTTGCATTGAAGATGTGTAAATGACTTTTAAAAAGCACTTTTGGGTTGATCACCATACTAATTTAACACTCTGCCAAGCATTTCCAGATGGAGATTATTTTCAATTAGGCATCAATTTTCAGATCTATGTATTTGAAGATGTAGCCTTTATTTTCAAGTGGAAGGTTGAAGATGCCTGATATTTTTATAAAGTGACAAGCAATATGTAAGGAAAAGAAAAAGTTAAATATTAAATGAAAAATGAAAATACTTCAACAGTGTCTAAAAGCAGTGAGGGAATTTTAATCTTTTATGTCTGCCTTCCAAGTAACCTGTCATCATTTATTTCACCAAACAGACATCTTAAAGTCAGACATATTTAAGAACAGAACTGTTCTCACTTACTTCTGTTTTTTCATCAAGATGCACTTTTGCAAAATTCGTTTCGAGGGGTTTTGAAGGAGTTATATCCAAAGTTTCACTTTGTTCAAGGAAACATGTAGGTTCTGAAGCTGAGCTTTTAGAACTCTGCATCAGCACTTCAATTTGCTGCTTCAGATTAGATAATTCCCTCCGTAAACAAATAATTCTGGAAGAAGACAAGATTTTTCATTGTTGCTGTTATAACTGTATTTGATGGTTAAGGGTTATAATTAAAGTGACCTAGCTTTTATTACATATTGATTAGGTTCTACATTTTCTTTCAAGACTAAACTCATAAATTTACAAAAAGAAGTTTTCCATTAAAGACAGTGGAAATACATAATGTATTAGCTTTTTGCATTAAAAATGGTAAGAAAAAGTATTTTCAGAATGCCTCTTTAGGAAAAGATTTTCTCACACAACCAGCACAAGGGTAGCAGGGGCTGCAACTCTTCTTGCCCCATTATGCCTTTCCCTCCACCTGATTAGCATTTCCAAAAGTTCTGAGGGTAGATGAATGACAAGGAAAAAGTAATGAAAAATGCCAGGATGTAAAAGGAAGGTCTGAGTCTAGAGCTACAACTAAGAAACATTTTTGCATGCTCCGATGTGTAACATAGGATGGAGAATGTACCTGATCCAGTGACAGGATGGGAATAACTGCTGGGGCTGCTTCTCAGATTTGCTAATGTTTTCTTAAGCTTCTATACAATGAGCATGTTTTACTCAGTTCTTTAAGAATCAAAACTAAAATGATAATGTACTGAAAAGGCATACGTTGGATGGGTTTAATGCTGTGTACATCTTACAGTTTTTATAATGAATCTCTGAAAACCAAAAATTAATGCTTATAAAGATTTACAGCTCTTTGAGTCAAGTGGTTGACTGATCTTTAAGATAGCATGAAATAACAGGATAAAATCAGTGATTATTTACCTAGACAATGGAATGCACAAGTAGCCTGAAAATACAGACATTGAACTGAAATTCTTGACATCACTAATCTTGACAGGCTCTGTATTATAAGCATAAAGCAGCAAAACCTGTAAAAGATGGAATAGGTGAGATATAACGCAGTATGGGATCATAGACCTGAGCTATCATCAGTTTTAATAGGATTTTAAGCAATTTAATTATGGATATAATTTATATAGGTAAAAATTTAATTATACCCCATAGAGTCACCATCAAAATCCCAGCGTTGTCCTGATTCTGGTCAATCAATTCCACTTACGATCATGTCCAAAGTTCTAACTTTAGGTAGGATGTAACAGAGAGCTTTTACTGAATTTCCCAAGGTGCTGTGTAATTAGTTAAATGTGCTATATGGCCTTGTGCGTGACTTTCATCATACTAGGTTTAAATCCATGAAGTGCACATAACTCACCAATCTAATAAAGCTATATCAATCTAACAGCACAAGAAAATGAAATAGAATGTTCTCATCTTTCACTGAAATAGTTTTATAGTATGACTGAAAATATGCTTCTCTGAATATTTTGACTATATGAAGAATGTCAAGAATACGGTATTCATGTATTAAATGTTTTTAAGAGTTGTCTCTGCATCTGTAAGGATCTGTAAAGTCATGATAAAGTAACCTGCACAACCATATCTAAAAATACCTTATATGCATTAATTTCACAGGGCTTCTATCATAGAATCATAGAATGGCTCTGGGGTTGGAAAGGACCTTAAGATCATTTAGTTCCAACCCACCTGCCGTGGGCAGAGACACCTCACACTAGACCAGGTTGCTCAAGGTTCTGTCCAACCTGGCCTTGAACACTGCCAGGGATGGAGCATTCACAACTTCCTTGGCCAACCCATTCCAGTGCCTTACCACCCTCACTGTAAAGAACTTCTTCCTTATATCTAATCTAAACTTCCCCTGTTTAAGTTTGAAGCCATTACCCGTTGTCCTACCACTACAGTCCCTAACGAAGAGTCCCTCCCCAACATCCTTATAGGTCCCCTTCAGATACTGGATGGCTGCTATGAGGTCTCCACACAGCCTTCTCTTCTCCAGGCTTACTAACAGAGATGAAAAAGGTCTAGTAGAAATTTTGATACTGGTCTGTTCTGCCAAAAAGTTTGGAGACCATGAATTTCTATCGCAGTAGCAGAAATTTTACTTACATGTTTTTTCCTTATTTAAAAATAAAACAAATTCCATGTCTTAGCAATCTTCCAATCTCTCTCATATTTCATGTTTAGTCTGACTTCTTAGAGAAATAAAGTTTGCAAGATTCCATTTTCCTTCTATAAATGGATTTTCCAGCAGCTTCCCACCAGATAGTATTGTTTGAATACATTCATCAGCTCTAACCAAACTTAACTCACCAACTCTCCACAACTTAGCAGAGTGAAGGTCTTAAAGTCATCGTGAATCTGCAACAGGCATGAATACAACATGGCCTGGAAGTTCTATATGGCCAACAAAGTATTTCTTTGGCCTGCCACCAAAAAACTGTCCATAACACCTGCATTCTGTTTGTCCTGCATAGCAGGTTTGCAGCACAGCCGTTGTCCAGCTTGCCAATCAGCATATGTATCATTCAATTTAAAAGCTGATCAGGCATAACACAAATTTCATTGGAAATGAGACTAAATTTGTTCCAATACCTAAGGAACTGTTTTGGTGCAGTTATACCTTGGTCTCTGTATCATTGGATGGCTTTGCCAGAGAAGGAATGTACCACTGAATGTTAATTTCCTTCTTTGAAGCATTTGCTGCCCTCCTCTCCATCTGACACTCTGCTTCTGCGATGACAGAAACTGGAGAAGCTGTTCCCACCCGTGACATCTTTGATGTAGTTCCAATAATTTCAAGAGACACCTGAAACAGAAGAAAATTCTAAGTTGTGTTTTTTCTAGTGTAACATGCCACATCTGTTATAATCTAGTGTCTTCTAGAATCGGTATGACTTTCACACACACACAAACACATGCTTATTTAGGTAAATGGGTAATTTTAAAAGGTGCCCATTTGACCAGGACACAAGTTAAGGCTTGTCAAAGTTCACATGATGAGATATTTCAAAGGTGATGCAAAGGACTCTCTGGGCTAACTTAAGAGACACCTACAGTAATAATTGTTACCTTTGATTTATTTTCCTTATGGCATTACATTTTCTGCTGAAAGATAGTATTTGACATGCTGCCATACAAAATGTAGTGCTGAAGAAGTAATTTTTCGGCTATACATACTGATAATTAAAATAGTAATTAGAATGTTAAACTAATGCTTTATTTATATTTACCTATTTGTTTTCTTATTAGCTGTGCAATAACAAAGAGTGATACCTACTGAAAAGTCAGTCACTTAATTTCTGAAGATTTGTCATATGTCACATTTACTAAAATATGTATGGAAAATTAGCAGACTATTCATTAAATAGTTACTGTTTGGCTGTCATTTACCAGGGAAGTAATGGAAGAATATTGTAAACCAACATCCATTCATGAATAAAAGCTTTTTTTAGAGAAAAAAAATAGTTGTAAAATATTTAATTTAAAGGCTGAACAGTGCCATACTTTTTCTACCTTTTAAAGCATTACATATTTCTGCGAAGAACAGAAGAGTTCAAACAGTGACAATCTGGGGGAGCGCAGAAGGTATTTGAAAAGGTTTTTAGTGTCTCCATCACTGGTTCCAAAATGTGGACACTGAAAACAGCTGCCTGGGCAGATAGTTCTTTTTAATTTTGAATGTTCACTGCTGAAAAAAGCTGGAGAATTTTAGCCACTTCATTTTCAGAAAATACTGCTCCTGACTGATACAGGACAGTAAACCCAGGTGACGGATTTTGCACAGATTATTTTGCACACAGAATCTTCCTTCATAAAGCCAGTTCCCATCCCACTTCAAAACACAGAAGTGAAGGTAAACCTGAAGTCAAGCATTCGAGCATATGGATATGTCTTCAGTTTGGCATGGAACAATTAACTGGGATGATCCATGCCACAGACTCATAACACTGAGGAAGTGATAACAACAGCCATAACCTGTGGTATGCCATGAGGTGTTGCACGGATCACCCACCTACTACAAGGATCTTCTACATTCAGGATCCTTAGTTTGGCAATGAATTACCCACTATCCTGCTAGCATGGAGTGTGAACAGAATTGTAAGAAAAGACATATATGGAGGCGGGGATAACCTAATTTATTCCATGCCTCTGAACTGGAGCTCTTAAGAGTGCATTTTACGATATATATTTCTTTCTAAAACATGCCCTATGTTTTCTTTTTCACCAAACTGCATCTTTTGTTGTTTACATCATAATGAATGTTTTTGACGAAGGATATTATAACTGCTGTTGCCAAATTGAAGGGTTGCTGAATTAAATGCATAAATATCTATTCAACTTTCTCAAAAGCCTGAAAACAACTAGCTGTCTTAGTTAAGTGTTTCCAGTACGACATACTACCATGGGGTGGAATAAAAAAACAAGCATGCAAAATGTAACAGGGCACACAGAGCTGAAAAAAACTTCACGATTCAAAAATAGAATTACACAGACATGTGTAAGTGAAACAACCTTTTACATAAAAATCATTCTTTCAAAAACTTTACCTATTTGTACTGTTAAAAATCCTAGTATCAAATTACAATAACGTTTTTAAAATAACACAGCCTCCTGAATAGTTAAAGCTTCTAAAAATGTTGTGATAAAAATCAGTGAAGCTTAGAATTAGAAAAAGTAAGAAAGAGCTTTATGCTTGTTAGCTGTCTACAGTGAAGCTAACACATGATTATGCAGCTTGCACCAGTCATGAATATGACAGTGAGCTCTGAAGCTTATTATTCTAGGACAGTGTAAATACTAATTATGTCAAAAAAAGACCAGACAGAGTAAAATAATTTTTGATATACCATGGCTGCTATAAGTGTCACATACCATATATTTACAATTTATTCAGCATCACAGTAAGCCCTTTGTTGGGAAATGAGTAATGATATGCTGTCCAACACTGCAGAAAGTTCACCAACTCTAGAAGAGCTACTTTCACAAAACTATTTTCATTCATTTTTATAAGATTTCAAGTTCTCACTCCTCAGGGCTCCCCTGCATCCATCTAATACTGAACATACTAAGTAAAAAATAAACCATAGACATTAACCTGTCACTTTAATTTTTTAGTATTAGGATAATTATTAATGTGAGAAGTGGAATGGAGAAACTTTGAAGACAATTCTTTTTACATTGGATCTTCAAAGACAAATTTCATTCAATATTCAAAACATATGCCATGGTCAGAGTAGACTCCAGAATTCCAGTTCAAGATTTCTCTGAGTAATATAGTCTGAGCTGCCTACATTTGAAAGCTCAAACAGACTGTTCACAAGCCAGAGATCTTTGATTTTCTAGCCAGCTGACAGTGGAAAAAATTGGCACACAAGGCCTTCAACAATTTTGAGAAAATATAAATTATATATTTTTTGAAAATCATTATAGACCAAATTAACAATATAGACACCTGCACATACGAATTACACTGGGAGGACATTTTTGGTACGAAACATGGAGATGTACAGGGTTAAAAGCCTCAGTCCTACCAAGTAACACAGCCTACTTTTAATTAACTAACAATGAAATCTTCTTAAATATCATTCTGCCTAATCTGCTATGGTCTAACTGGGAATGGGATAGAGAGAATTTTTGCAGGAATGAGTAACGCAAGGATATTTGCATTTGCTATGCTAGGATTTTGGGTTTGCACTCATCCTCTGCATAATGAATTTAATTCTTCTATAGCATTCTCAGAAATCTCACCATTGGAACTAGCAAGAATCTGAGTGAAATGCAAGTATAATACATATTTTTGAAACATCAGAAAGGAAACAAGTACCTTTGAAGAATCAGCTGGCCTATCAAGTGGCAATTCTACATCACGTAACTCTTCTGGGAAATTCTCAAGACAACACACTGAATAATGAACCAAATGTTCTTTAAGAAAGGAATGCATTTCTGCTATGCGTAGAACAATCCCGGTGTCAAAAACAGAACTAAGGTGTCCGTCTCTTGCAGAAAAAGATCCAGGTCTTGAGTCAGGGGCAGCTTCGAAAAGAAATTTTTATTACATCATCATCTGCCATTAAAAAAGTAAAGTTTCTACAGCTACTCAACATTCATAAATTTTGAAAATATACCAAAATATGTGTGTTCAATATCAAATAAATGCATTTCCAACAATTACAATGATTGTGCTTAAATAGGTTATGCTATTTGCATTGCCGTTTTTCACTGGAGATCTCATAATGAAACAAGCTCTGTCTAGACATTATAAACTAGCATAAAATGGTAGGTGTAGTTTTTGAGGTTTAGATAGTTGAATTTAGATGTATAAGCATCGGTATGTTCACTAGATGTCTAAACCCACATTAGAATAAATGCATATTTATTTAATACAGTCAAAAGAAGCTTTAAGAACTCTTAGGACTCTAATTTAGACAGCTAGTGGCTGATCAGCACAGTTGCTCCCCAGGCTGCATCACTGGAAACTTCAGCTGAGATATACATGTACATTTTGACACCTACTTGTAGTTACTTTACTGTACTTATAGTTCTGTAGTGCGGTAGAATACTTCCATTTCATTTGGTGCTGCAAGGAAAAAAGCCAACCCTTTCTGACATTATTACTTTCAGAGATGCCAGGTTTCTCTCCAGGCAGCACCTGCACGTGCAGTTGTCATCTGTATATCCAGCAGCTGGCTATCAGATGTAGATGGGTAGGATTAGGGCCCTGACATTAATGTATTCTTACTCTGTCTGAAAGGTCCTATCTATTACCATCTTTTGTTTACAGTGAAATAAATCTAGTATGTACATAACATCTGGGGTTTTAGTCGAAACACATTCAATAATGTTCAGACCTCCCATTTACACTATACTGAATTCTCATAAACAGGACCCCAAACTGAACAGATTTATTTCTAATGTGACTTAAGTCTAATGCATCTAGAACTAAAAATAAATATAGATTATGATTATTTTTTTAAATGCTTCAGATATAGTAAAAGCAATTAAGTTTTGAGAGGTTTTTTCTGGTATCATGATGGCTTGCAAATAATTATTTTAAAAGTTATTATCTTCACTTCCAACACTTTTAAACTGACATAAAATCAATCTTGATTTCAGTGAAGATTTTTTTGCATTTATACAATTTAAAGGAACTCAAAACTTCAGATGAGGGCGTTTGTCCTTGTTGGCCCCAAGAACAATACCTTATCTATGGCAGTTTTCTAGAAGGAAGAAAAAAATCATACCAAATAGAAGATTTGTGTTATAAAGTCTTTTTAAATAATTGTGGTAGCGAATTAAGTGAATCCATGTTATTGTCTCTTTCTTCTGTCTGGCCTTGGTGGCAAGACTTTCTGTTCCTTCACTTTGTCTCTGCTGATCTTCTATGATTTGTTCGGTTTCAGTAGAAAATGCTTTGGGACTTTCAGAGACAACACTGTATCCATCTGCAAATTCAATAAAAGTTCAACATTAGACATTAAGAGAATAGTTGCAATTCAAAAGCTCTTTCTGCACTGTGTTAGAATTGACTATTCTGTAATTAAAAATGTAACTTGTGAACCTGTTATGTTTTTGTTAAGAGGCAAATTCTTTCTATTCTGCTTTAATATTAGTTGAACTGGTAAAGAAATTATTTCTCAGATCATGGTCAGGAATCTGACTGTCCTTTCAAGAAGCTAAAAGGGATAGAGAGCAAGGTGCTCTCTCTTGCTCTTTCTCTCTGAATTTAAATTAAACCCATTATTTCTATATATTGTTCAATAGCAGACAGTTACTAAATGGAAACTGTACTAGCAGTCATCACTTCTAACTACAGCAGTTGAACTTCCTAGTTATTTATAGAGAGTTAACTACTCTGAAATGATTTTTGTTAGCTTCAAACCAGTCCCTTCTAGATATTAAGCCCATTATCAATGAAATGTGTTCTTAAGTATGGACTTTAAAAAAAAAAAAATTTTTTTTTTTTGGTGTTGCCTTAAAGTTACACTTATGTCAAAAGAGGAAAATATGTCAGTAGCTATCACTATTCTTTTTTTTTTTTTTCACTCTGTTAGTACGTGGCTCCTCAAAAGCCTACAGAATTCTGCTGTTTCTCGTTACAAACTGGACAAACATTATGTTACATTAATTCCTAATAGTAAGCTTCCAGAAAATAATTATGTGTGCTTCTACAAAATCTGAATGTCTCCATTATTCCTGATAGTCAACTGTCAATTGTAAAACCAGAATTTAGTTAAAATGGCCACATTGTTTATAGATGAAACTTAAACAATGTGTTTCACTAATGGTTCTACACAAAATATGTAGCATGCTGTGCTGATCATTTCCATTTCAATTTACCTTTATATATTTTGGCCTACTATTGCTTTTCTGCATTCTCTATTCTTCTTTGTATTGCCTAACAGAACTATCAGGAAAAACACCTGCTGCATTTGCTAGAAGAAAAAATGATCTGTAATTACAAGCAAATGGAGCTAGTACAAAACAATCAGATTGATGGAAAGTCTTAGCATACACCACTTGTTTTCATAAACCAATCACGACACCTATGTTTAAACACTGTACAGTAAGCAGTCATTGTTCAGCTTTGCCAGGAACTATCAGGCAGAGCAATTCAATCTTTGTCAGTCAATTGGGATGACTGAAATTAAGCCACTGAACCAAAATTTTATCACTAAATTAATGGTGCCCAGTTTAAAAATAAATATAGATATTTTGTCTTAGTGTTTATATAACATCTGGTAACCAATATCCCAGAATTCCTACTTCAACTGATTTATTTTTAAATCAAAAGCTTCCATTTCATGAACCCCATTAGATGTAAAATAAATGCAAAAGTTGGAAATAAATGAGGAAAAGGCAAAATTCTACCAAGCTAATGGAAGCATCTCTAAATGTTAATTCACTGGAACAGGAAAAACAGTAAATTTTTATTTTATTACATAGACTTTGAATTTTAGAATATTGTATCCAGGCATATAACTTTGCTTTTACTTTCCAAATTTGACTTATAATTTTTCATAAACAAAAATTATATATTAAATGTATTACTAGTTTACATGACATATATCATTTATTAGTTAATGTTCGAATATTACTAAGTATAAAGGAATACCGGACAAAAAATCTCTGTATGAAGCAAGAAGATCCATGGAAGCAAATTCTGGGATTTTCTGCTGCACTGCATCCTTCATGCTGTGTTCTTTAACACTCTTCATTCCAATTAATAGCTGAGAATCAAGCACAGCTTCACTGACCTAAAAATAATATTTATTTTATTCAGAACCTGTTCACTACAATATTTACATAGATTTTAAAATCTGAGAATAGCAAGATGGTGACAAAAAATTAATTACTCCACATACTATATTTTTAAAAGTCAGGAAAATACCCTATTTCTCTTTGACATACAGTACATACTATACTTAAATAAATCATTACTGCTGACAGCTTAATTACTACGTAAGTGATTTCAAATCAGATATCCTCATCTGGATGCCACTGCTGTCTATCCACATGTCAAATACATGTGTAGACATATCAGGCAGAGTGCTGTTTTATTTGCACTGAATCAAACAGAGCCAGATCTGTCCAAGAGAGATTAAATGCACTACTCAGACAGTGTCCATTTTAATTTCCTCAAGTAAGACCCATGCCAGAAAATTCAGCAAACCTTAATTCTTGCTCTTGTTTGCATTGCCTTGTTTGCTTGTGTAAGTAGCATAAGATGAAATTTAAAAAAATATAAAAATTACCTCTTTAGAATATTGCACCAACCTGTGTAGCTGCTCTTACTGCAATCCAGGCTTGTACTTTGTATCTTTCTGATTTTGGAGACTCCCCAGGAGAAGAGAGTTCTCCAGAAGAGGTCTAAAATTATACACCAGTTCATAATTAGGATTCTAACTGTATTATGGTAAAATATATTTTAAACACAGAAAAAGAAAAAAAAGTCCTCCTACTTACAGGATCATTGTTTTATTTGCAAGTTGTAAAAATCAGCATTGATTTTAAATCCACGATTAATTGCTAAAATTGAAAAACATTATCCAGAGCATACTGACTGCTCCTTATAAATTTTCTCAGAGCAGCTTAAACTGTAGTCAATACTGTATATAGGTTTGCTATAATTTTCTATTTTCTGTGATCTTAATTACCTCTTATGTTACATATCATACTTCGAATCTATGGCTTGTAGCCACTTGAACATGGCTTTTATATTTCTCATGCTGTCATGCAGATTTGTACTAAAAAATTAAAATCTGGTAAAATATAAATATTGGCACTTAAAAGTCAGTCCTGAATGACGTTGTCTTTGCGAGGTACAAATTAAATAATACATAATCAGAAATGAAAACACTGTTGGTTCTGTTTCTTCCTATTTGATACAGAAAATATTTTAAATGTTATTATTCAAGGCAATAAACATGAAAAATAAAACCAAACAAGATAAAATTCTACTGCTCTACTATATGATGTCTTTGTGTGATTCTTCTAGTAGGATTTTCAGTATCAGTATGATTTATAAGTCACTGTAAGCAGAAGTCTGGCAAGGTACACGATGTTCTAACAGAAATACATTTCCTGCTTTGAAGAGGCAACCACCCAAAAGATAGAAAACATACGTTTGACTTGGAAGGCACCATCTTATCTGTCTGTGACATATCCTCATTATTTGTGGCAAAATGCAAATATAATAGTGCTATTTCAAGGTATGATCTTCTTATTAGCCTGTAAAAAACAACATACAGATCAATCATTATTACTATCAAAGTAAGCACTGCAATGATACAGACTCCTGCATAAGACTAGCCAGTCTCACCAAATAAATCATTCATCCAGCCCTCATAATCTACTTGTATGTCAAATATAAGTTGCATTATGTGCAACACACATTCCATAAATAAATAGCAAACATTTAGTAAGAAAGCTGTAATTCTGCAAGGGAAATGATCTTTCTGTACAGAATCTGTGTAAGTTCTTCTTCCTTCTTCAAGTTAAGGCATATACCCATTGTTCTCATTTCCCTGAAACCTCTGTGGCTGAAATTGGATATCTGTCTTCAGTCACACTCTTTCAAGAATAAGCAAAAATATATACAATGACCTGCTCCAACAAGTCCATGTCTTTCCTGTACTGAGGACTCCTCAGCTGAATGCAGTACTCCAGGTGGGATCTCATCAGAGCAGAGTAGAGAGGCAGAATTACTTTCCTCAAATTGCTAAAAATCACTGTATCTGGAGAACTTCTCCAACATTTCTATTCCGTATAGGTTTATAACAGTCTTTTTATGCAGGTTCCTCCTGGCTTGGGAGATCTCTCCAGATCTCCCTTATTGAATTAGCGTTCCTAAGCATACCAACTAACTCCTGCTCATGTAATTACTATTATTGACAGAGTCATATTGCACAAACTTGGCTGTTTGCATAGTACAATAAATTCCAACTTTGTTATGATCTGTGTAAAGCAAAATACAAAAGTCAAAGATTGCTGTACAGTTCAAAATAAGGCAAACTAAGTGGAAGGATGGCAAGTTCTGCACTTGGTGACAATTTAGTTAACTCTCTAGTCTTGCTAACAATAAAGGATTTGAGACATGAAGAAAAAGCTTTAATTAAACAATCCCATAGATACCAGAGGCGATCTGGATGTTCAGCTCTCTAAAATAAGAAAGCCAAGGTCCACTGATGTTGCTGTACATTCTTTTAGAAAAACAGTAGCAAATTAAATAAGTGTAGCAAATTAAACTTGCAAAACATCACCACAGTCCATTTCTGTACTATCTTCCATCATGCTCACTGCTTGTAGAGGTTTATTACTATGCTACTGCTTCTGTGTTCAGAGTTCTGGTTCATTAACTTAAGTAACAGAATACCCAAACAAGCAAGGTGAATTGCCGCCTTTACACTGTCTATAACCAGACATGGCACATTAGTCATTAAGACTGGTTGAGAAACTAAAAAACTGAAGTCCAACGTATCAGAGTTTCTTGACAGAATTTATTGGCTGGCTTGGCTCAGCTCTTCAGGCATCTTCTACACTGATAACTAATGCCAAAGCCACTGTCCTGCTATCTATTACAAACACATTTCCTATGCTCCTTCTGCCTCTGTTCTTCTGACTGTTTCTGGCTGCTAACCTTTTCAAGCTGGATTTCTATTATCTGGAAGGGGGCAGACCACAGCTCATCTTCTGAAATATGAATAAAATCCCTGCTTAATTGATAGCTCTGTTCCTGGTGTTGACAGAGAGGGTACAAATTTGGAAATAGAACAGAAAGCTGTAACTTTGTCTACTCTAAAATATGCTTTTAAATGTTCTCAGCATTTGTTTTAAATAAAAGAATAAATAAACAGTAGCTTTTCTATACTGCAACAGAAAAAAAGTGTCCAGAACATAAAAGATGCTTCATAATACAAGTCCCACAACCAAAACTCAAAAAATGGTCCAAAAACTATATTAATTTGTGCTTAAAATTATTTTGTGAGTTATATAGCTAGTTTCTTACTCAAATTTTTGATCATGTTGCTGGCTGAGTTTTATAGCTTCCATCAGGCTTTCAACAGCTCGAGATGACTTGTTATTGCTTGCTTCAGTTATCTGGCATTCTACCTTACCTAAGACAGACATATATAAAGCAGATTTGCAAGGGTTTGTAATTTTTTTTCTGTAAGACCAAACCTGTTTTTCCCTCCAGAAAAGCGGAACAACATAGTGCATTATCTATTCTCTTCCCGATAAGCAAAATGTTTTCCAGTTTGTTTAAAAGGCAATGCACAAAGCTTGAATAGCAAATCACTTTATAGAGTAGCTAAAATAATCAAACTTTGGAATCACAATGACTTCTACGGTGTAGTGATCGTAACTAGAAGACCACTGTACATGGAGGAGTTGATGCACAGGCACAGGCCTGTTCTGTGTTGCACTGTGCTGCACATACAGCACAGCCTTCAGGCCTGTGTTGTTTTGTGCACATCCCTTAGCCACAGCGTAAATGTAGCCAGCTAGCTGTCACAGAAGAGCCTGCTGGCAGCATCTTCTCAGTACCTCTCATAACCACCTGCCCTTTCTGTGAAAGTGCAGCAAGAAGTCCTTATGTGAATATGCTTTTTGTTTGACAGTAGAAATGATTAATAAAATTGTTTTCTTTTAAGAAAATCCTCCAACAGCTCAAAAGCTCAAAAGGAAGCAACCTTTCCACAGACTGGAAACGCATTCAATACAGCACAACTTGAGGTTTTCAGCATCTGAAAGGCCGTAAGATTATTTACACAATCCTTCTTCTTTATAGTGTTAACTCTAATAAATGGCATTTTAAGAGGCACTTTACAGTCTTGAGTGCCTTTTTGGCTGGGATCTTAACAAACCAACACCTCCTGTGCAACACATAATGCCACTAAAATCCAAATTTAAACACTGTGTGTTTAACATTAGCTTTGTTAAATCAATTAGAAACACTTTCCAAGCCTCTCATCATCGGTTCAGCCTGATGCAAAGAAGCTAACTAGTTTGCTACAATGTCCTTAATCACATTGGCTACACCTTTTGATACCTGATAACATACAGGTGGGAGAAGTTCTACTGCAGGTTTGAAATTATTTGTTGCATAATGCATCCTGAACTATGCTGCTGTAATATTAAACACAAGCAAGAGATCTACAGCTAGACAGGATGAGAAATATCACAATCTGTTCTATTTTTACAGTGAAATGTCTCCATTTTAAGAGAGGCCACATGTATAACATTGCCTAGGAAGGCTATCATGGCATACAAACAGGGTTTTATTTACCTATCTGAAAAAGAAGTTCAGCTTCCAGATCTATTCTTTTTGTTGCAGATGCTCTGCAAAGCTTCAATGCTGATTCTAAATGTTTGAGAGCACCTAGCCATTGCAGTGGATCTCCTCTCGCAGGTGTACAAGCTACTTTTTCAGCTAATGTGTGTCCTAAGGGGAAAAAAAAAGAAAAAAAAGAAAAAAAAGGACAGTTCTTAGTAAATTATTTAACAGAAAACCAATTTATACAAAAAGAATCAACCTTCTTAGAACAAATATTGGTAATGTATTTACTGTTACATACTTTACGTTAGAAATTCTCAAAAATCCGAGTGATTAATGGATATAAATACAGAACTATAATGTTGTTTCACTACTTCAGGATGTCACTGAGGTCTTCCTATGCTGTCCAAAAGAATCTCAGGCTACACAAATCAACCCTTTCACAAACTATCTGGAAAGATGAGCAATAAACTTTATTTGACTGCCAGTTGTAGGCAAAACTGAAACCTCTCTGAGCATGTCCAAATTCTTTTTGTGCTAACCAGTTCTAAAGGCGTCTTTGATGTACTGCATCCCTCTTGTACCGTACTCCCAAATATTCATCTGTATTCATAGGATCTCTTTAAAATGTGGATTCTTAAACAGGAGCTGGTCAAACATGGCCAATACTATGAGTAAAACTGGCCATGCCTGCACTGATAAGCAGTAAAGCACAATAAAGAGTGGATCTCTAGAGCAAACCAGTTGGTGTTGAAGACTGGACGGCCACAGCAGATGCGTTTCAGAGTGTTTATTTTAGATTACCTCTATTTTAGTTCTAAGGGCTAGAAAGTAGTGGTTGGGGTGCACCAATGTGCTCCTCCCAGAACATATCTTCCTGAAAAAGAAGCCAGAACACTGAGGATGCTCCACAATGTGAACCAAGGTGCAGTAAGTGATTTCTAGATTTTTTAGTCTATTATAACTCAGATATACACCTAATTAAGTTTAGCGAAAAGAACATTAAGGCAATATCCCTTTCCCTATGTTTGCTATATAGCAACAAATCTCAAGACAGATCTTAAATGTTCACTTATGTTACTATTCAGCGTATTTCCAACATTCTATATAAAGAAAAGTTAACAAGAAAAGTTATTAAAGGGTGACAATCATAACAGACACTGTTTATTCTATTGGAATAAATAATTATCACTATTATTCCATGGTGATTGGTATGGGAACTAACTAATGATACTAAATCTGCTTCCAGAGAGATGGAACCTATACAGGGAGTTTTCACTGAACATTTTGTACAGAAGTTGGCAAATTATTGCTAACTTTCAAATTTTAAAAATTGAATTTCCCATTAATTTCAGCAAGCTACAATATTAATATTTAAGCCTTTGTTGATCGTATTTCCTGTAAGAATTGTACCTTCCTTATACACACTGCATGGAACTGAACAGGCATCTATTGTTAGTTTTCATAATATTTTAGTTGTATAATGAAAATCATTTAATACTTTTCATGCATCAGTTTATCTGCTCTTGCATAAAGTATGAGTAAAAAGTAATGAAAAAATAAAATTAATGATTTGCATTTTTCTTACCGATTCTCATTTTGACTTGGGCTAGCAAGTTCATCTGTGGCAAGTAGATATTTTTTGTAGGTAGGACCAGGCAAGTCATGGTACTGTCATCTATTTGCTGTTCAATGGGTTCTCCGCAAACAAAAATCTATGACAAAATATACTTTGTAAAATCAAATTGCAGACAGTAAGTCATATAGCAGCTTAACAAAGTAAGTTAGGCATGGCAAAAACCTGGAACTCGAATGAGTCTTGTAAAAGAGCACTAGAAAAGGGCTTGATACTCCCAAACTCATTTACTTCAATTTGTACTTGTCTACTCTGCAGAGGAGTTTGGTAGCAAGTAAATAATTTCAATGAACTCTTGATAAAATCTATTAATGTTAGCTTTGATTTCTAAAATCAAACTCCCTCAAATCAGTCTTTAAGCAATAGATCTCCCAAGTAACCTGAGCCCTCAAAAGAAACTGTCATTTCTACATAGAAATCTGACATCCAGCAAAGGCCAGGGAAAAAAAAGATAACATGTATGGAACAGTCAAACTTTTCATTCAGGGAAATAAGGTGATGGGACATGCTGTAAAATGTTAAATCTCTTGAAGGCTGGTAAGTCTCGTAAGTGGATTTCTGAGTCTGAAGTTATTCATATGATTCTTTATTAGCTGGGGAAACATTTCAATGGATTAAACTTCTGATTAGGAAATATGAGGAAAGAATTTGATCCAAAAGCTTTTCTTCATAAGCTGTATCAAGAACTGGTAGAGACTGCAGAAATGCGTATCTATTTTTGGGTCTCCAAAGAAGTTAATGGATTTACTATACATTCCTCTCACAGATTCCATGTCTTCAGATATTTTTTTTATTGCATATGTAAATTTTTACATGGAAATGATTTCTCCATACTGATTACAACAATCTGTCAATCTAAAACATCATAAACAATAGGCTGCTTTATATAGACTTTCTAATTCAAATTATTCTATGTTAAAATACAAAGCTAAATTCTAAAACTTTGAGGTCAAGAGCTAGGAATTTTATGAGATGTTCATCCTACCTGAGGTGCTGAGTATAAACACATACCCCATTTCAAATGGGAAAAGTGAGTGTTCCACATCTCTTTAAAAGTCAAGCTATGTATGTCAGTTTTCACATATGGATGTACATTTTGCAAGTATTCAATATGTTCAAATTGTATGAAAATACCAGACTACATACATGAGTATGCATGATGAATACGCATAAATAGATTTGGTAAGATTAATTACTTCTTTACAGTATGTAATCTAGGAAAAATTGATCAGTTAATAGGAATAGCACTTTTTAATGGATTGCTAAAGTAGTTTCCAGAATAGATAATTAAGGATTTGCAAATGCTGTGTAAAACACCAACATATACTTACTGCTTTAATGGTAAGCTTGTGTGCCAAAATTAGTAAGTTCAGTGGTTTCATTGTAGAAAAGCAATGTTCTGTATCCTCTCCTGTTTGCAGTGTCAGTATGTCTGCCAGCAGAAGCATACTTTTCACAAGAGTCAAAGAAGCTGGAGGGGAAATTAATGTATTCTCTTGCAGTAAACTGATGATATTCTGTTTGGACATAGACAACATAAACCAAAGCAGTTACTACTTTTGCTGTCTATTTATGAGGACAAATCACACGAAGTGAAAAAAAACATCTATTTTAGAGGCCCTATTTCAAATTTCTTTAATGCTGGCGTCAGCTGTTCTGACTACATGAAAAATGCATCAAAGAAAAGCAACCAGTTTCTCCTTCATGCTCAAACCTCCAAAAGAAGTTTGATGTCTGCCATGGGACGTTTTTCTTGCAGGTCAAGAATAGCAGCTTGCACCATCATTTCAGCCTGAGTCTCAATATCACCAAAGGCTTCTGCCTCTAGTATTACTTCTTTTAGCACACTTCTGCGTTCAGACACATAATTTTCTAAAATAAAAGAATATAATAATAGTAAAAATACAACAGAAAAGACTTGACAGTACTTTCTACCATTCTTAAGAAGTCACTTCCACACTAAAAACTTACAGAAAATCTGACATTATAAATTCCAAATTTACCACTTCATTAATTCTGTGGCAAATCTTTTTCAAAAGACAAGAAAAAAACAGTTTTTAAACTTCACTTTGTTATATTTCATCCAAATGCTTTCTTTATATGTAAGCCACCAGCATAAATAATCAGATTTTGTAGATCAGATGTCATTCTCACCCATAAAACATATTCTACATATTCACAAATCTGATCTCAGTTACTTCAAAACAGTAACAGTCTTCACAGGAATTATCCAGAAGAAATTAAATAGGAGCTTGGCTACAGACCAAAACTGTGATTTTGATACTTATGTGAGCATCAAAGTTCATACTAAGCTCATAGAACTAAGGAATTAAAAACCATTTTATTCATAATCAAACTACAATAAATGTATTTTGTAGTATCTTACTAAAATTCTTCAAGAAAAAAAGAATCTAGAACATTTTTAGAACATATAGGAACATTTCATTTATTAGAGATACAAAAAGTGAAAAAAAACAACCTTCTGAGACCTCAGAAACTGGAAGTATGTAGCAATAGTGTTTTTTAGAACAAGCATACTTAATTACACCAGAACATTTGAAACTTTTCACACAATAATGATCATTAAATGAAAAGTAATATTATGCTTTGTGTTACATGCTCTAAGGAGAGATTGTACTCAGAAACAGGTTTTCCTTATTACATTAGATTAATTTAATACAAATCATTGCTCAGTGACACAGCCCCAGCATTAATGTTAATATTTTATTGTTTATGAATAAGAATTGTGTCTGAATTTGCCAGGATCTAAATTTGCCAAAAGTCTAAACCAAAAACTGGTAATACCTTCCATATCACCAACACCACATATCTGTGCTACTAGTGCAGTCACTAATGTTGTATGACATCTTAGCCACAGATGTATATTTATATGATCTTGTGCTGTTACACAGTGAGGCAGTCGAACATCTTTGATGTAAGAGTCCTAATAATTTCCAAAAGCAAGAGAAATGTTACTTTCTGAGTCAACTGTTCTGCTACAAACAAAGCAACAGGTCAGCATTGGTCTAAAATAAATTAAATTAATACAAATATATCACAAATAACATCATTGTAACTAGAACTTTATTTGAACGACAGATACATATTTTTTTAATATCTGGAGGCCATTTATTATATAATTTTTAATCTACAGGAAAAAAACAATTGTAGCAAATTAAAATTAAACCAGTTTTTATGGGAGACCCCATGAATATATCCATATACTGTATGTGTCATGGAGAATAATTCTAGCAGTTTGGACTTCATTGCTCCCAAACAGGAACATTACACAAAACTAAGGCACATAAAAGTCTAATTGTAGAGTGGGATCAATACCAAGTTCTGGTACCTCACTAGTAATTAGAAATAAAATCATAATGTTTTATTTCCAGTTTTCAATATTTTGAATTATTAGAAACAAATATTAATGTATAGTACTGGAAGTGTTTGGAAGAATGCTGAGCTCAACTCCCTGTGCCATCTTCACGTATTTTAAGTGTAGAATTTAAACAGAATATAAAATAGTCCTACTACCAAGATTTTACAGTCCATATTTGAAAGACTTGATCCATCAAGCAATAAATGGACAGTGCACCAGCTGTGTTGTACTTATACAAAAAGTAATTGTTTGCGTTGATGCAAATGAGGAAAAAAAAGATAGCTATAAGTCAGTTACTGGCCACATGGCACTCCTAAGAAAATGTAGGAGCAAGTGAAGAAAGACAGAAGACCCTGATAAGCAACACAGACAAAATAATTAAACTGCGTGCAGGAAAGTCTAGTTTCATGCATGTCACAAAATCTGGCCTCAGTGCTCAACTGCTTTGTCCATGTGAGTCTGTTTGAGCTACTGCGCACTCAAGAATGAATGTGTGGTATATTGCACATTTGCTTTCCAAAGTATGCATCAGTATCCCTGTGTTTTAGACAACATAAGTCAGCTGAAATCTTGCTAAATTTGGAACACAGCCTTGTTGATGTTAATGGCAATGGTCGGTCTGGCTCTTTGAATGAGGATACTCTTAAGTGTGTTTTCAATCAGAAAAAGTAAAATACCTTAACTGAATAATACAAGATTTTCACTTCTAGCTATTTTTACCACTTTCTGTTTGTTTAGGGGGAGTTAAAAGATTTTCATTGTTGCCAACTGAGAGCATACAAATAAAAACCGTAATTCCTAACCACATATAAATTAAAATTATTATTACAGACATATTGAATATACTATAGGTACCTAAAATATGTCAAACATCATTTTCTCCCCAGGTTAATGCAGATGGCTGCTATATTCTAGTAGTATTCTGAAAAACACTCAACACTTCATGCAGGACTTCATTTACTAAGAAACAATAGTTTAAGACAAATATCCACACATACCAAACACTGTCTTTCATCCTTTTCTTCTTTAAAATGTGTCCCTTCCATCCGGAAAATTTCTGCATCTTGAAGAAGTTGAATTGCAGAAAAAGCCAAAGCAGCACTGTGACACAGAATGATATTAAAAATACTACCTATGTTTGCCATTTTAAGCTTTTATTATGATACTTCATTTCTGACTAAGTCAGAGATGTCTTTCAGCAGTTACCAATTTTTACTTCAGCAGAACAAAAAAATTACATTTGAACTGTATACTGAATCTGTAGACACTGCAGTATGAAAGCAAGAAAGCAGCATTAAGAGAAAAAGTTTTGCCAATAGCAGACATAACCTTATAATAATGGATAAACCAAGATATATCCTATTCTGTTGGAGCAATCAAAACAGAACTCTGCTATGACTTTGAGTTGCACATATCTGTCTTCAGGGATGGGCTTTTAGAAATTAGAATATATAAAAATACTTCAAATGACAAAATATATTAGAAGAATTCTGTATCTAATCTGTATACTAGAGAGGTAATAAAACATCTTCCTTAAAGCCTTTCCATGCTATATGTTAATCCTTCTGCTAACCGAATGACAAAATAGTCACAGGATCTTAGTAAACACCACCAACCAAGAACTGAACTGGGTGCCATCCTGGCAAAACCTCATTGGTAAGCAATAACATGGCACTGACTCTGCCCCACACCCCCAGTCATAATCCTTTTCTGGAGTTTGCTCCAAATAGCATCTAGAAAGATACAGACACTATTAGGTCTGGTGCAGCATTCAACCACACATTTGAAAAATTGTGAGTTGGGATCACAAAACATTGTCGGGTTTCTTAAAATATTAACTACTGGGGTTTTTTTTCATTTTAAAGCTTTCAGATACACTTAGATTTTCATGACATCTATAAAAATGTATATTTATAACAGCAAATTTTGTGAATACAATTATTTTCATGATATGAAGACACTGCAAAACCAACATATTGAGAAGATCCTTTTCACAGTGGAATTTGTTGCTCAAAGAACACACTACTCAAAAAAGAACTCCCATCACCAGCGTTTCATGTTATTAGTTTTCCATCTCTAATAGTACATTTTCCCCTACATCTATAAATCTCTACTTTCCTACCTCTTCTCTAAAAAATTTTTGGGCTTGGGTTTGGTTTTTTCTCAGTTTGGTTTCTTTTTTACGATTCTATTTATTCTCTACCCACTGAAACATATGTTCCTAATAATGCAAAAGTAGTGGAGTTGCTCACCTTTTAAAAGATTCTTCTGCAGGTTAATTGCTATAACCAAAATTCCCATCTATGCTGTCCTTTTACATAGAGAGACTCTCTGTACATAAAGACTGGCTACTATGAAGCACAAGGAAAAAAATAATTTATGAACACCTTAAGTCCTTTTTACACTGCCAGAACACTGTAAAGAGTTTTTAATGCAAGAGAGATGCCGTCTCTGTGTGAATTTACTGCTGTTGAGAAGTTCTAGACTAATTTCTGTAAAGGCAGAGTTCTTGATTCATGCACAAAGAAGTCAGAACAAGGGCTGCACTACTCTGAAATTGCTCACATTATTCTGCCAACTTATCTAAACGCAGAATGGATAACCTCCAGAGATAAGAGGGTAGTTAAAGTCTTCCTGTCATTTCTGATTCTAGCCTGCTTGCTGTCTTTGTGATGCAGACCTGGATGGATTACACCAATTCAGCACAGATATACCCCAAAGTAACAATGAGAACCAAAACTGTTAATATTTTGCCTTTCAGCTCTCAGAATGCAATCCTTATGAATCTCCTTCATCATCCCTTTACCTCAGCTTTATTCCACAAAATGAAACCAGAATAAATCAATGTTGAATTTGATGATAACCTTCTTTCTAACAATGGAAAAGACAAAACAGAATTTGCTTATAAAAGCAAAACAACAGTAAGGATAACGCAATGAAATATCCCAACTGCATTTTCTTTCTTTTTATTAAGAAGAGTTTTCCCTTGAAACCAGGCATCAAAGTTAAAATTACAGCAAAACCTGACATTTTTCAAAAGATTGTTTGAGATCCTATGACTAATGTTTTTCAAATAATTTGGAGAAGGTGCAGCACCCAAGAGCATATATGGACTTTAAAGAATTATTAACCTAACTTCCTGAGCACCACTGCCTCCAATTAACTGCTGTTGTCAACATTCAGCAATTCTGAAAGTTAGGCCACTTACAACTACACACTTACATATAAACGTCATGAATAAAATGTAGACCACAAGCCCAAAGATTCATATATGTATTGTTTTAAGCATTAATGTATTCACATAAGCAGACAAGTACCTATTTGGGTAATTAGAAAGCTCACCTTCTTAGGCGGGGACACCATGTAAGTACTCTCTTTGAGATCAACAGAATTAGTCCTATACATAAACTTACTCTGGGCACAAATTTTTTGCAAACAGAAGCTGTAATGTAGAAGCTTCCCTTGATGAAATTTTTGTGACCCTCTTCTGCTGTCAACAAGAGTGATGTGTCTATATATTTCCCTTGACAAAATACACATCCTTTTATCAGCTGAATCAGAAAGTGACAAGATGATCAAAATAGGAAAGTACAGCTGACTATAACAATTTCACCTCTAAGTCATTTTCCAAAGGAAAAAAATGATGAATTTCTGTAATATCATGCAAAGTTTGATTTCTAGGCTGGCAGGCAGGAAACATTCAGCTGTCTGAAGGAATGTTTCATTTGTACCTAAGGTAGATATATCAGCAGTGTCCATGGATGGCAGTGCAATAAAAATGTAAAATAGGTTAAAAAAAACCCAAACGAATAACCCTTTATTGTTTGATGGTGTTTGGTTTTTTTTCCTCTGCCTCTGTCAATATATAAGGCCCATTAAACACCCATCAAAAATTCCCAAAAATGATCCATAAAATGCTTGACATCCATTGGAACCCTTGATACTCTTAAGAAAGCTTCTTCAATCTGAGACGAGTTATAAGCCAAAAGAGAAGCTAAACTAGGTAAAACTGCATGTCAAAAAGAAGGGTCCTCCACTGAAGATGGCTTGTATACTGGAACTTGTTTAGCAGGGTGAGAAAGTTTGGGTCAGAACTCTACTAATACAGGTTTTAAAAAGCCTACTATCAAGGTAAACTGGGTTTATGCACAAGCTATTTCGTAAGTCTGCATACTAGTCCTTAGTTAGTAATATGATAATTTTATTAAATCCACATGGTACTGGAAAGAACAATGAGGTCACTGTCCAGTGATTTGTTGTTTTTTTCTTTGCAAAATTTATGGTAAATTAATCTAATTCAAAAGGCACTGAAATAGATTAATATTTCAAGATGACAAATGTCCACAAATAGCCTACAAGTTCTTACTGCACGACTTCACAAACGACATCACTGCTAAATTATTAGTCCTAATATCTGAACTGTGGGGAAACTTCTATCTTTTAAAATAACATGAACAAAACATGAGTGAAAGACAATACTGCAATACTCTCTATTTTCAGTTCAGCAGTCTATACAGCACTCTGAACCTCTTGTTCTTGTTATTTTGTTTCTTTATTGCTGTACCATAGCCGCTATAAGGAGGTTTGATTTGGTTTGTTTATTCACCTAAGACAGCTGGGAGAAAGAAGATAGTTTGCTTTTGACATAGAAGAAAACTTTTCTTTTTTTTTATTAGGTAAAAGGAAAAAAACCCACTGCTGCTGGTTGGCCTGCTGAATCATCTACAATTACATCACCTACATACCTTGACTTAGAAGTGTTACACAAAACTTCAGCAGTATTCCAACAGTAAGAAATGTTAATTTTGCTTTTTGCTTGGTACATACTATAATGTAAGATTTACTCTAATACTTTCAGTGTGCTTAGTCAGATTAGACCTAGTGAAAGTTACAGATACTGATTACATTCTACCTAATCCCAATATAGTCTGGTGACAGTGCTACACCTCTATGTGCTGCATCTCTAGTTAACGATTTGTACCCTCAAAGATTTTTCAACCTAATAAAAAATTAGATGAAAAGAGCTTGACACTAATAAACATTATGTATTGTTAGACTTTTATCCTTCCTATAGAAATTAGTTTAAAATTACAGATATGCTAAACAGAAGAATCCTCCTAGCTAAAAGATCAAAACAATGTTCAGAACTTAACGCCTATAAACCATTAATATATTTCTGTGTATCACATATATTCAAAGAACAGCGCAACTGTAATTTCATGAAGTTCTCTGAAAGAATTCAGAACCTCAAAAAAATCACAGAATTCGGAAATTGTAATTTGGAGAAAATATCTGTCAGATCATGTAAATACAACAGTGTTTTACACGTTATCACTAACAGTATAGTTATTGCCTGCTAAAACATTATCTAATATGTTACAGGTTACATTTAACATTTTAATTTGACACCAGTAAGTACATCAAGAATAAATATTCTTTTAGGACAGTAACACAGGGCATTCTGAATAAAGTAGAATACAGTAGTTCAGAGATAACATCAGTGCTCTGCTGCATACTTAAAAATGATAAAAAATGCATGACCTAACATACACAGATTTTACTTTAACAAAAACAGTGAACATCATAGCCGTTTTTTCTTGGGTTTTGTATAATACTATATCACAAAAACACCTCACATAGAAATCATAGGCCAATAACTGACGATCTTTTAAAAAGTAAAATAAAGCAGTTATAAAAAATGAAATGCCAGTGTAACTTACATTTGTTGATATACTAATGGGGTTGTTATGGCTGGTCACTAAGATTTAGAATATTAATGGAGACATAAGGATTCAAAGAAAAAAATGCTGATTTTTTTTTTTTTTTTTAGTCTTTGGTAGTCAGGGGTGTGCAACATAAGGTTGTTCTTAATATTACTTACCTGAAAGCTGCTTGATGCCATTGCTGAGAAATAGTGGCAAGCTCAAGTTTGGCCTCCAGAAGAACCTCTAAATCTTCAGCAGAACACTGAGATACCTCCCCATCATATTTGTCCTGTATGTTCTGCACAAGATGGCTAAGACTTTCTTCAGCTTCTGTCAGTAAAATCCCCTAGAGAATAAAAAAACGCTGTATGATTTAAAAAAAATAATGAAAGAAAGAAAAAAATCTTTAAAAGTACTTTACTCAAATTTTTACAATTTGCTTTTTCTATATATAGCGGGGGGGAGGTTTAATTTTGCCTTTTTTCAGGTTTAGAGATTTAATGTGTTGGAAGTAGCAACGTCTTAATTGTGCCTGTATTATTACAATTTATTTACCACATATTTTAAGGCTTAGAAATATTACTCAATAATTTTCCATTCTTCATTCTTATCTTGTAGCTATACTTGATCATTTTGTACTATACTTCTTACTATACTTAGTAATTTTAAACAATAAAATACAATATTAAAATAAAACATTAAAGATGTTGCAAGTATTGTATTCTTTTCTATATATATATTTTGACAGATCCTTAAGTGTGGTATGTATCCTGAAAATTCAACAGTAATTTACAGTCTTTCTGACAAACAAAGCTATAAGAAGCTGCGAACAGCACCAACCAACCAAACCTCCTTCAAACAAAGCTAATAAGCTGTAGTTATGTTTTCTCCAAAATAAAGTATCAGAAAGAGGAACATGAAAAATCTGAGACATTTCACATAAATAGACGATTATTTTCCGTTTTTTTGTAGAGCACACTGTCCCATCAAAAAGGCTCTGATGTTCTCATACACCACCCTCTGAAAGGAGATGATTTTACCTTGAAATCCCATTCAGTCTTTTCCCTTGTTGCTGTAACAGTCATACTGAGACCTGATTGTGACATTTCCCATGGAGACTGTTTGAAAAACTGCACCAAACCACCAAGACTTCAAGTATGGCTAATAAGATTACAATCAGATTAGAAATAGAAATTTCTAGTCCTCTTATTCATGCCATCCTCGCATCATAATTTCTGTTACATTGAAAGCATTAGCAATGTGTTTGGAACAAACTGCAGTTTCTTAAGGTTTTTTTCCTTGGGAAAAAAAAAAATTACCTTCAGCATGGCCATATTTAATTCACCTTTACAGTCAACGAGCCGCATCATTGTGCTTTTTTGTTCCTGCTGTCTTGAATTCTTATCAGAATTCTTACCAGCATCACCTGTCAAATACATTTCAGATGAAATTTCAGATAACAGATGCAGGGCCAAACCATTCTCAGACACACTTCATATTTGGAGAACATGCCCCTTTTCTCTCTATTTATAATTGGGACTTTCAGTATCAAAATAAGTGAGTAAGAATGGAATACAGCTCTAATGATATCAGAGATATTAGCTAAAAAAAAAACCTTGAAAAATCCGTGTTTATTATTTTGATAATGACTGATTTTTCCATCAACATTTAATATAAATATTGTTTGTAATATGAAAAATTAATGCATATGCAGTTAAAAGTGGAAAAACTATGCTTGAAACAAGTTGTAGAAGAAATGCACTTTTCCATCACCCTTATAATTACCTTTTGATGCTGTAATTTTGCTTGGCTCCTGCAGCTTGTTGATATCAGCAGAATATATGTGTTTTTCCACTTTTTCAGGTATATTGTTTATTGTGGCAGAAAGGCAAATAATGAAATGCATTTTGGCTAAGGTTAGTTTATTCATTATTTGTTGGTTGCACAGTGGCACCATTGTTAAAGACAGACTCCGATTAAATATGTCTTCCAGTACCTACAAGAAAGTGAACAATTGGGACTATTTGAAATGACATATTTTACATTTTTCTTGTTCAAGACATATTCTGCTTCTATTAACAATGATGTTTACCAATAATTAATATGAATATTAGTAATATGCTCTTAGTCATAATGGCTAAGTTGCTGTTTTCCTTTCCAAACTTCATTCACCCCTTAGCAGGACTTGCTACAGCCTCAAGTGACCAGTTTTCCAGTAGAAGGTCCATCTTTGAAGTTACAGATATTACTCTGTGTGAGTTCTAGTTTTCTGTAGTGTCCATAGCACTCTTTTAGCTAAGGTGATCATAAAAAATACGTAGGTAAATCTGTAGTTCCAAAATCTCAACTCGACGTCTGTTGTTGTAATTCACCCTAACTAGAAAGAGTAAGCAAGGAAAACTTTTATCAGACCCTTCTAGTGTATTTCATAGGATACTTTTGTTATTTACTATAGCATCCTTGTTTTATCTTGAGTTTAATAGTCTCACTTTAGATTCATGAATTTAGAAGTTGAAGGTCTAGACAGCTTTGCAAAATCATAAGGAGACCAGTAAGAGCCCCATATAGACTGTGAAGTGTTCAAATCAGAAGCTCAACTTCAGAATAAATCTGAAACTAGTGAGATCAAAAGCTGTCAAGATAGACATCTCATTTCTGTCTTCTAATATAAACTGTTGTAGGAGACACGCAAAATTACTGTAAACAAAAGAGAGAAAAGCAGAGGGGGAAAAAATGAAAAGAAAGGAGGAAAAAGAATGCTGGTTCTTTTTTACTTTATTTATTTTAATGGTACAGTTTCTTTTCCATATGCTATTAATGTTTACCCCTACTGTCTCAATGAATTCATTTATGAACATGTGATTTTATTTAAAATGAGAAATACCTGTTTATTAACCTTTACAGATTCACTTTTTGGGTTTTTTAGCTCCCCAGAAATGGACTGAACCCCAATCTAAATTAGGACAAATCTATGAAGGCAGCTCTGATTGATAGGAATTATAAGGCTAGATAACATATTTTATCTGTATTTTAGTAGGATAAACACCAGACCTTACATATCATGACAAAACCTGAATAATTCAACTAGTATGTTTTGCATAAAGAAGTCACAGATTTGTACATATTAGGTCTCACATCTGAGAAACAGTGATAATGGCACTTGCCTCTCCCTTGAGCCATAAAATTTAAAATTTAGGAAATGGTAAAACTGTTGAGAAGAATGTTTTCTATTTACTGTTTTTCACTAATACCAACTGTATTTTCTGAACCAAATAATCTCTAACTCATGTCAGAGAAATAAATATATATGTCTAGTAAAAAATTTTTAGCTCTTTCAGATTCTTTTACCTGTAAATTTGTAACAGTCAGGAGAGATTCTGAGGAGTCAAATTTCTGTAAGGCCTGTAAAATGGACAAAACCAAAAATAAGTATTGTGTTACAATATGAGTATAAAATAAGTGAGTTAGCAGAGCAGTGGACAAGTGTAGTGCATTTCCAACTATACTTTGAGAGCTCTAAAAATATCAACAATTACTTGGCTTCTACAGGCTTTACCTGAATCATAACTTGAGACCCAAAACTATCCTTACACCTGCTACACCACTCACTAGGATTCTTCAACTTAAAGCAAGGCAAGAAAAAGACATAAACCAACAGAAATCCTGTTCCAAATTCTAGGAGCTCTACAGACACCAACCATCAACTGCCTTTATTTCTGAATCCCATCCTAATTCCGGACTTAGCACATACCTCCTCTGCTGTTCACCAGAGCACAAATCTGTGAATGGAATGGAAAGGAAACAAGAGCTACAAGTCAAGATGAACTTGAGACCTCAGCCTCCTTGAGGGCTCTTAAAAAAACTATTTCTTCACTTATGCGTGTTTCAATTTTCTGAAACCTGACCCTAATTCCAGTCCTTGCTCAAAATCCCTTTACCTTTTCATCAAGAGACAAATCAGTCAACTGAGAAGAAGGAAAAAACCAGAGGTAATGATAATTTCCAGCCTTCATTATAACTGAGAGCTCTATGCACAACTGTCACTTGGGTTCTATGTGATTTTTATTAACTCTTTTATTAACTCTATATTCCAGATTTAGCCCTCTATCATCTCTGTCATTCCCTGGAAGATGAGTCCTTCTTATTCTGAGAGCTGTTCAAAAGTCCAGCAAGCACTTAGCTTCCAGATGTGTCACACCCTAACCAGAGAACTAATGCTGCACTTCCTCTGCTATTCACCCGAACATTCACCTGTGAACGCAGTTAGAAAAAGACAAGTGACAAATCAACCAGACCTCATCCTAACTATGAGCAAAACAGGCCTTTAAAATGCATTTTAACCTGACTAGTATCAGTAAGGAGTAAATACCTTCTACTGTAGCCATGAACAGGGAAGCTCTGCAGAATCGGCTCCAGTGAGGATACTGATAACTCTTTTGCCAAAAAAGATACTGCTGCTCTGTTTTTAGCCATTGTGAGGCTGCAATGTAAGGATAGTCAGGCCTTGGGGCAGCTAGAAACTCCCTCTTAGGGTTTGGAGAGATAGGAGGGGGGAAATCAGCTCATTAAACTCAATTTTCTCTGCAGTGCCAGCTTCACTGTCTACAATACAGAGTAAGGGAAGCAAATGTGAAGTTATGGACGTGGGTTAGGATTTCCCCTTTCAGCATCAGCTTGCAATTATCACCTGATTAGAAACATCATTCTATTGCATGTACAAAATGTGGCTTTACAGTGAAGTTAAACCCATGCTGCTTTCAAAAGGGGTGTCCCTACCTAGTGCTCTATCATGTTTCATCCACCTCTGTCACACTGATACACATACTTTGTCATGGAGTGACACCTACTCATAAGCACCACTCATATAAGTGGGACCTTGATGGCATCCATCCAGCAATAACTCATTAGATTATTTTGGTATGTGCTTGGAAAATAAGAAAAGCTACATAATTGTTATGGCAGAGACTTGCCCAATAGCTCTGGACTGTATCAGCCTGCACAGCTATGTTCACAGGTAACACAAAGAAGCCCAGGTCAACTGCTACCTGCTTCATAACCTTGTAGCACATTAGTGATCAAAGGTGAGATTACTACTTGTATGGAGATCGAAGTGATTGACCTGGGGTGATGTGACTGTCAAGACTCTGAGGTTGCCAATATCTCTTACTGCCCAGCATCTCCTAGGGCTGCCCCCACCCTACCCAGGTCCCAGGACTCCATTTCGGCCCCCTGCAGCATCAGCCTCTGCCCAGCAACACCACAACAGGGCTGGTGTCCAGCTCCCCACAGCCCTGCCCTGCCACAGGCTCCTCAAGCCAGGCCCACCCATGGGCTCAGATCCTGGCCCAGCCTCAGCCAGACCCCACAGCCTTGTGCGGCCACCCTGGAGCTGAGCCTGAGCCCAGTTCTCCTCACCAACTCTGATCACAACATCCACCTGTAGGCAGATGTCCCAGCAGAGCCTTGGCCTGGCCCTGGCCCCACAGAGGTGCCCAGTGCCCTGGGCTGGGCTGCCCCCAATACCCTGCAGCTACTGTGCCGCTGGCTGGGGTGGTGGGAATTTTGCCATTAATGGGACAAGAAATCTATCCATATTTTTTATGTCTACATATAAAATCACACATTATTTTTTCAACAGTGTATTCTGCATTACTCACTGTATAAAACAGACAGCATGTCCGTTTCAAAATTTGGTTTTGTTCCTTTTGTTCAGTGAGAGGAATTATGTCATTCAATGCCTACTATTTGACCTATTGAAAGAAATTTAGGAATTTTCCAGGAATGTGTTATAACTTGCACATGCAGAATATGTAGTTTTGTGAAGAGAACTGAGTGTTAATAGTTCGATGTTGTACTTTACTGGTGTTTACCATCATTTGTTCAATTATTCTGTATCCTGCAGGTATTTTCCATGGAATTCTCTCTCCACAGTTAAGCAAAGACAGTTCATGAAAGGCCTCCGTAAAAAATCCTATATCTGTAAGGACTTTAATCTGTAAAAAAATAACAGAGCCTTTTATTTAAATAATTTTCAGGTATTCTTTTTGGTCAAAATAAAATGTATTCAAATGGTAATTTTCAAGCAGGTTTGGCTACTAGAATAATACACTGACAGAGTGCATCCTTTGATGGAAAGAAATCTTTTACATTTTATAGTAAATAAGTAACACATCAAAGAGCGGTCTTTCACTTTTAAAAACAAAAATGAACAAAAAAGAGAAAAACATACTTTAGCAAAAACTTGCTCCTTACAAAGGAGCAAGCTAATTCATCTGGCTAGAACTTTGAGTGTTAGTCCAAGATCAGCCCTGTTTCACAGATTGCCCTCATCTTAGTCTCATAGTACTCAGTTACTCTCCCTAACCATATCAGCATTTCCTGGAAATATCTAAACCCAATAATGTTTTGACTCTCACTACAAGTTAGATTCCTTAAAAAAAAAAACCAAAAAAACCAAAATAAACCAGCAGGCAAACATTAGCAAAATGATAAAAATCTGTTCCCAGAAATCTGACAAGCTGGTTCCACGTTAATACTGATAAAATCCAGAAATGAACATCGTGAACAAAATATCATCTATGTTTTGCACATAAGAAAACATTTAAAGGATTGGTGGAACAAGATAAAAAAAAAACAGGTACAAAGTTTGGATCTAAGAGAGAGAATCTTATGGCCATGTCTTTAAGGAGAATGCTTGTTAAATGGAGAGTAGGAAGAAATTATGGAAGTACTTCACAGTCTCTGTAGGACATTAACAGTAAAACTGTATAAATAACCCTATATTCTACTAAAACTGAGAATATAAATAATTGCATTTAGAAAGTAGTCCTATTCTACAATCTGTTGTGCTAAGGAATGCGAAGCAACAGCTGAACTTTAAAGCACTACTTTTCATAGTAGTGACATCAGAAGAAATACTTAATCGACTACATTTAACAATGAAATGAAATGAAAGTTTATTTGAAATGCAATGTGCTGTGAGAAACAAAAAAAGTTTGTTTGATTACCTTGAAGATTCTTCCTTCAATAGATTTAACTGGGTCCTTACAAATCTCAGACACAATGTATTGGTATAATGTGAACAACGGTAAAATCTGTAAGAAAATATTAGGTTATCTAGCTATAAATGCAATAAAGGGTACAGTTATAGAAATGTACATTGTGATTATACATCACAAATATAGAGATAATAAAGGAGTACTGCTTTCACTGCCACATACCACTGCTATTTCTCTTACGGTCTATGAAGGATGAACGTGTTAAGAAGCTCTTCAGCTGGCTAAAGCTAACCCCTTATACTATCTTTTATGTGATTCACAATGTAGAAAGTGAAGTTTCCCCAAATTATTCTGTGTTTGAGGTGGTTTTTTTTTTACTACACCATTAGTGAGTAAACCTACTAGAAAGATCTTGATATACAGTTCTAAAACTGTCTGCATTTTGATGCCATAATTTTTTCAGTATAAGTAACAGAATAATAGAATTCTGTAAGCTTTATAACATAAACACAGTGAAGCTCTGGAATGAAGTGAAACAATACCAATTGTAAAATAACCCGATGGTGATGAGGTTTATTGACAAATTCATTTGCATTCATTCCAAATTGGAACTTTTTTTAGGGGCAGCTAACAAAAAAAATTTATAACAGTTCTAGTAAGTATACAAACACTGTTGTTATTATTATATAATATTTCAGGAGATTCTTGCCTAATAGACGTATTTGTGTGTTGAAAATGAAAGAACTTCCAGAATTTAATTACTGTTCAGCTTTTACATTTTTCCTCACTTTAAAATGTTCCCAAGCTTGGAAAATGCTAACAACATTGTTGCTTTTTTGTCAAATGCAGTTTTAGTTTTCACAAAGTAGCTTAATGCTTCTGAATTTGGATTACAAATACTTGAGGCAAAGGTTTTAATTGTACCCATACAGCTTCCAACTGGTATTTGAAGTATTTCAAATTAGTCTTTGAAATTTTATTTTTAATAAAACTTGAATCCTGATGTATTTTGATTTAAATGTCAAATCAACTTAGTGCCCACTATCCAAAACATTCCCACACATTAAGCATTCAGTGGAGATGAAGCTCTCATATTTGACCATGATCTATGACCTGGATCTATATTCTACTAGCACAAGTGCAGAAAGAATCAAAACTGTGCATGGCCACGTGAAGCAAGCAGTCAAATTAAGTGTCCCTGCCTCCAGGTAACTGTCTGCACCTTGATCTCACTTGATCTCCCATAGTGAGGGCATTTAGACAAAGCTTGGTAACAAAGTGAACTCCAATAAAGCAGGATGGGAAGAAGCAACAACAGGAGGTAAGACAGTTAGCCTGAAGTTCCAAAGAAATCAATCCAACAAATGGCTTGCTGACAAAAAAACAGGGTAACATCTTGCTGCCTCCTCCTCTCTAACCCCTCTTCCATGTCTAGCCTCTAATCTTTTCTTACTCCCCTGCCACCAACCACACAATCTTTTCCCCTGCTCCTTGCAGGACCTTTCCATAAGTGTATTCAACTCGTTAAAGTAGGAGAAAACTATCTACTTTTTCTGCTGGGGAGTTTTCTGTTATGTGACTATGAGAGTTGATTCATAGAGGTATAACATAATCACTTGACATGAAAATCTGTCAAAACATAGAGGACCAAACAGGAACAGAGGTAGAATTGCATCTTTTTCAAAACTAGTAAGCAATTCAGTCTATTTATTCCAATGTACAGCACTGCACCTTTGAAAGAAGTGGTGGAAGTGATCAGCCACTAAACAGAAGAAATAAGCACATGACCACCATAAGAGGGAAGCTGTAAAAACACTCCATACTGAGCAATAAGAGAACATGAGAAGGAGAAAGGCAGAAGGGGCTTTTATTTACTGAACGTGTAAGTAAAATTATTGAAAGCATTCTGGCCATACTGCATTTAAAGAAATTCTCAGTCCAGTGTATTTCAAACTGTATATAATAGGAAGTTTCCTCTAAAATGCCTAAGCTAAGTATGTATAATACAGGATGACCATGTATTATCATCTCCTGAATAAAAAAGTACCCCTAATATTCTAAAAATTATAGGCAGCAAGACATACCTTGCTTCTATCTCAGTGCCATAGAACCTAACCATAGTTACGTTGCTAGAGTTTCTGAGGTATCTAATAAGTACACCAAAAAAATTCATTTCCAGAATGTAAAAACAATACTTACGATTAAATTTTGTTTTGCACAATATAGTTCAAACATAAGGAAATTCAGGCTTGCAACCACAGTAGAGATATCAGCTCTGTAGCGATCGGAGAACAAGTCGATACCAGGAATAAGCATATTTGTTTCATATTGTGCAAAGTCACAGTCAGACGTTGGATGTGGAAGAGAAGCTCTAAACAGGGTCTGAAAGTAATAATGATGAACTAATTGTGAAAAGATGCATAGGCATTACTGAAACACTATAAAAGTCCAATCCTTGAGACTCATAAATTATTTCATAAACGAAACTTAGTGAATGTCTTAAGCAGCCAGTTGTTTGCAGACAAAACCTTGAAAAATCTTTTTAGAAGAAAGTGCCTTATGTGTGAACTTGATGGAGGGAAAAAAACTAGGCTGTAAATAGGGCAGTATTTCACAGAACAAGCAAAAGAGAAAAACTAATCAAAGTGTAGAAAAAATAATCAGGAAGGATTCCTCAGGACTATAAGGAACTAACTTCAAGGTTCCTACTTTAAAAAGGAAGGAGTGCTAACATTGTCTCTGATGTTGGATATTCCTTTCCAATTGTGTTTATCTTACTGTAATTAGCAATGATATGCTAGAGAAACATGCATTTACATACTCACGGCTAAGACATTAACAAGCCTAAATCCTATACAAGAGGTGGAAAAATAAAGCTATAAAATCTTTCCAAATCAAGGAACAAATTATAGGCTTCATCTTCACAAGGTACAGTGACAGTAATTTATTATATTTTTCAAGACACACTGCAAGCTGCTGCTATCCCAATTAATACCAGACCTGCTTCAATCAAGTCACAATTATTTCTACCGTTACATAACTGGAAAAAATGCTACTACTATTTCTGTCAAAATGAGGAATAAGAATTGCTCAGCTTTGTACCACCAGCAGTTACACTGCTTGTAAGTAAGCTAGTCAAAATTTTCCTTTACCTTTCTTTCTTCAACTTGTTCTCCCTTTGTTGAACTTAGCAAGGTTTTAAATGTGGCCTAGGACAGGTCACACAGCCACAACCATGGCTGGCACAAGATGCTTAGAAAGTGGCATTGGTTTGTTTTGGAAGAAGCCAACCAACTTCCTGATGCTGCACTGGGATGAGTAAGCACTGATCCCAGAGGAGTATGACTGTCAGAATACTTGCAATTCTTTTTCCTGGTATTACTTTTGATACTGGTATCTTAAAATCTCCTTTTAAGAGTTTGGTTTCTGATAGCTCACAAACAAATTTAATAATCTTATTTTCTTTGAAAATGAAACTGAATCGTTTTGACTATCTTCTATTTTTAGAGCACACTTCTTACAAAGCTGTGATTTTAGTATTATAAACCAGTATCTTTTAATGCTAAAAAATATTCAAAAATTTCTTTTTCTAAAGAGGCTGTTCTTCTGGTTGCAAATTTATGACAGATGTGACAGAGAGCACTCTGCTATTGTGGATGCCATCCAGCTCTTCCTGAGCAGAACACTTCAAGAAAAGAAAAATATATTTGACTGCCAAATATTTTAGTCATCTTTACTTTTCAGTATTTTATTATTTCTCTCAGACACTAGCCTTTTACTGAAATGATAATTTTTAGGCTATAATACAGGAATAATGCTAAAAAACAGAGAATAAAACCACCTATGCATCTGTGCATCTAATGTGCATAAACTGTCAACTACCTCTGGGCTCCAGTTTTCCTTCTCAATCAAATGAAATGAGAAATATTTTAATAGAGGGTTATTGAGATTTAAATTTTAGAAGCAATTCGTCAACTGAAATTGTATTCTTACCTTAAAAAGTATAGCAGAAAAATAGCAGTATTTAGTTCTTAAACTTATCTTTGATGTTGCTATATACCTGAAGTACAACAAATAACAAGAAATACGAATGCAAAATATGAATAAGAAATATTAAATATCAATATAAATTATTCAAACTCCTTTTTATCTAGTATAAAAATGATACTAACAGAATCTAGATGTTTTTCATATCAGAAAACAGCTGCCTGTTCTGTAGACAGGTGCTTAGCCATGCCATGCAAAGAAAGAAGCATTTGACCCAAGACATACCTATTCAAAGAGAGCTGTCTAGATTCTAATACTTTCAAAGCTACCTTGGCTCACAGATATTTCAGAGTGCTATTAATATGACCCGCTTCTCAGGTAAGACAATTTACTCAGTTGAAGCTCTGCCTTTTCATGGCTATAATGCTTCTAAGGTCATTTAGAGCTGGCTTAGATATTTCTAAATTTTCTGGTTTGTACATTTTTGTATTGTACATTCATAGTGTTTTACAAGCAGTCAAGGAGTACTGGACAGAAATATGTATTGATGGTAGACATTAATACAGTAATTCAAATTTCATTTACTTGTAATTCACCAGAAAATGAGTACTTTAGGTGGTAAATCTTCCCTCAAGATAGATTAATATTTAATATGTGCAATGACTTGGGAGATGTGATATTTTGATTGAAAATCAATATGACTCTAAAATCCTTGCACTTACAACTTTTATCATTTTGTTTTATTTCAGTGATCTCTCCATATAATATACAGCTGCAATTAGGATCAAAGATGAGCACTCAAGAAAAGGGAACAAGTAATATTCTCCAAAAGAGCAACTTTCTTCCTGAAAGGAAAAATTCCTCCGCTTTTCATAAGTCTTTTTTATAGCAACTTCTTAGTGTTTTTAAATTAATTTCAAGTTGCATAATGTCCTGGATGAGCAATTTGTTTAAAATATGGAAGAAATATATACACAGATAAAATACTTACTGAGCTATCTTAGCCACTATGACTGCTGCATGTAAACATCCCCAAATTCCAGCCTGAGAAAGAAACTTCTGACTAATATCAGTCAATCTGCCAACTGCAAAGCAGTCTGTAGCATTTTTTGGAAAACATAACTCTTGCCAGTTGCTAAGAGCATCAGCAATGTTGAGTGTTTCATCAAGGGCTTGACACCAATATTTAAAAGCAGCTCTGTAACATATGAAAAACGTTCTCATCATATTGCTGACATTTTCCAAAGTGGCAGATAAGATTTGCTTCATTTTACCTTTATTGCCTGAGATATAACTAATTCTGATTAGGTCAAAAACTGGAATATAGTTTCTACAATACAAAAAGTTACCATTCCTGTCAGCAGGCTTACTGGGACTTACACTAAAATGAAATTGTCAAGCAATAGATATTACCTCTTAAAAAAAATTGAGATGCTTAGTTAATTTGCTTAATTGTAATTAAGTAGATAAGTAATATAAACAATTTCTAGAAAAAAGAGCCTCTCAAAATATAATTAATAGTGAGTTAGATGAGAGAAGATACATGGACTTAAGGACAGCACAAGAACTTAAAGACAGCTGAAGGGTATATGAATGCCAATTAAGAGAAAATGAAACTGTGCTCTTTTTCAATCCAATAAATATGTACCTTTTGTTCCCAGCATAAAAGTGAAGATTTCCAAGTTCGTGTAGAGCCTGAACCTTAAGGTCTCTTTGTTTGTTAATTTCAAGGATGCCTGTTATTTATTTTTAATCAATGAGAAAAAAAATTCATCACATTATTAAATCAAATACTGAATTTTGAACAAATTTTGCATGACAAGTAGATGTGCATTCAGATTTAATTCAATGCATGAATATTTTTTCAAAGATTTATCAGGCTTGTATATTTACCTTCAAATGTACAATTTCTTACTTCTACTAACTTTAAAAACAACAGTAGGATGTATATATGGACTTGTTTACTTAAGCTTTTGTATTTTGGTTGGGGTTTTTTTTTCAGATCTCTCAAATTTCTTCATCTCCGAGACACAAACTGGGAAGCAGACCATTGGCCCTGCTAAACAACACAGCCTGCATACAGCACTGTAGCACTGTCTGGCTTATTTGTGGATCCCTTACATCAAATGAAACCACTTACAGCATCTGTTGACCTGCTACACTTCACCTATTTTGTCATACAGCAAAAAAGGTAACAGTGTCAAGCTGTAACTGTATGAGTAAAGCCATACTAGAATGTAAGATGGAAGCCAAGCAATTAGGTCTCATATTCAAATGCACAGAATCTGAAAGGTCTGTTTGCTAGGGAAAAAAAAAAAACCACAACAAAAAACCCCCAAAACAAACAAACAAACAAAAAACACAAAACCAAAAACAACCCTCCCCCCACCAAAAAAAAACCCAACAAAAAACCCAACTCAAAAAAAAAAACCCTAAAACCCAAAACTGCCCAAACTTATCATGGAATTAAAATGAAATTGCTAAACATCACAGCAGGTTTTTAATTTGGGATTAATCAATGCAACATCACTGAAGTAATCCTTTTTCATAAGATAACTGTAGAAGTTATGAACCAGATAATGGCTTGTTTAGGATCTAATGCAGATTTTCTGAATCAACAGAAATAAGGCTGTGTATTTCGGACACCAGCTTTCAGAGTTATAGCTGTCTGACAGAGGAAAATAACACTGGAATAAGATAGGCAGCATGATATTACCTCTCAGCTGTAAACAGAAATTCATGAAAAAAATTACCAATTGTTTGTTCATAGGAAGTGATAATTAGTGAAAGATGTGACTGTGGTATTGGTTTACTCTCAACCCTACTGGAGAAATAAAATTTTTCTTGAGAAAGGTCACATGGTGTTGGTAGATATATCACTTCAGTTCCCACATCAAATTCCAGCCTTTTTCTTGAAGAGATTTGACTGCTCATTGCTCTTTCAGGTTTTTCTAGAGCAGAAAAGTGATTTATATGATAAGTTCAGAAAAGGATTATACTACTTTCTATATCACATTACTTGAACAAATAGGCATTTCCTGTGTTTCCTGTTTTTATCTGGTTTCCTATGCTATTTTTCTGTCTGTGTGTCTCTTGATTAAACTCACTGGATGTAACTCATTGTTCAGTGCAACCAAATGAAAATATGAGCTCCGTTAGAGAAAATAAGCTTGGTAAGATCTGCCAGTCAGTCCTCTGACAGAGGCTTGGCTTCCTACAGACAAATTACACAGCTGCATGAAAAAATTTTATCATCCAACCATTAGACACAAATCATAGGAAATCAGACTTAGAGCCTGTACTTACAGAACTTCATATATAACTTTATATTCTGTTTTTTTCTGATGGCCAATAACAACTAAAACTTGAATTTAAAAAAATCTATTCCTTTCACTCTTTGCTATTTGAACTGCATGTACACTTTATTAAGTGAGAAACAAATAAATAACTCACCTTGTGCGTATGCAAGAAATAACGAAAGCAGTTTTCTGCTGTGTCTCAGTGCTCTGCTGTGATAGTGAGCTTTTTGTAGACTTTCTCTAAAACATTTCAGTGTATCATTCACATCAAGAGGTACAGAAACTAAGGCTTTCGCTGTACTCACTAAAAGGAATTAATAAGTATGGAGAACAATTCTGCATTACATAAATATAATTTTTAATAAATCACCCTGCAAAACATATATATGTTTGATCAATTTCAGAACTTCAAAAAGCTAAAATATATTAATATAATTGCCACCCTTGTTACCTGGTGGATTATGAATTAAAGCAAAGCTATTAACAGCCAGGAACACTTCTGAGCATTTATATCTTTTTCAGTGTTACATTTTACTTGTCATGTGATATCTATATTTCTTGAATTCCATCTGCACTGGGCATGCCTAAGCTCAGCGCTCTGCTCTGAATTTTGGTGTCTGAAGCCTGGAAACAAGACTTTACTACAACTGCTGATCCTATTCACTACAGTACCGTAGTTTCTGTGTACCAAACCTGTGAGTTGGCATGCTCGACCCACTGAATGCACAATATTATCTACTTTCTTACATGCAGCATTATTTACTTTTTACTGATTTTCCTCAGCTGAATTCAACACAAAGCGTTCAACATCTCTGTGATAGGAGGAACTATGCTTTATGAACCTCCATTAACTACTATAACGTCTTAATTCTGACTGTAAACAACAACTGTAGGTAATAGAGGTGTTTTGCCACCTTATAGTTCACTTCAGTTTTTATATTGACTCTACTATAACAGTGCAGGTTCAAGTAAACTGCTGAGTATATTGCTGGATAGCCAACGATATCAATGGAAAACTGAACCAAGACCACCAAGCTCACTCAACATACTGTGTATGTCAACTGGCATATGGATGACAACTGCTTTTCTCTGTTTTCAGATACAGTCTGAATATAGTTGGAAAGGCCTTAACAACATTACTACACATCCAAATTACCAGGAATAATAATTTGAATACAAAACTGAGTTTATATTAAAAGAAACAGATTATAAGAGCAGTGCAAGATCTATGATCAAGAGGAAAAAAACCTAAAACAAAACCAAAACAAAAAATATCCAGTATGAGGAAAAAAAGGTAAGGGTTTGGGAGAAAAGAGAAGTCATGATACTGAAATGTGCTCTGACCTGTATAATCATTTTTCATCTCAGGGTAGAAAAAGCATCCAGGAAAAATCTGTTCACTAGCAGAATGGGCAACAGGCAGCTGTATTTTCTGCCCAATGTAGTTTCTGCAATTCATCTAAAAAGCAAGTTTTGTTTCATGATAATTGAACAATATTCAGAAAAATCAATGTCTGGTGCTTAAAGTTAAGTGTCTAAATACCCAGTCATGAAAAAATAAAAAAGGACTAATTTACAAAGACACCAATGACTCATAACTAGTTCCCTTGTCAATAAAAGGTGAAACATTCACAAAATTCACCTAAATATTAAATATAAAATATAAGCGTTTAGATGTTACTGTATTAAACTTGTATCTTATTTGATATTTGCCACAATCATGAGCAACTCATTGATGTTAAGCAAATATTCCTCCTTTCTTGTCTGGATAAATGCATGCTTGCAAAGAACCTGTCAGTGTAAGTATACCTGAAGAGCACACTGCCTGTGAAGTACAATGTAACGCTGCATAGGGATATGCAAAACAGCTTTAAGCAGCTAACAGCAGCAGTCTAACCTTGTCAGATAAGCAAACTTCCAGACTTACATAAAAAGCTAATCCAGCACAGACTTTATTTTGCTAACGTAGCTACATCACTACAGAAGCAGAAGAGCCGATTCAGAGCTAGTTCCAGACTCTCAGAATGGCACTGCATTATGAAATGTAGCCATACTCTCCAAATTTCTGACTTGAACAATCCTTATTACTATTAACTAACATTAGTCTTTACTCTGTGAATTGTCTTTCAAAACCTTGACTATTCTTCCATATTGCTCAGATTACAGTGGTACGTGGTAGTTTGCCACACTGCCCGTTTTTTTTAGATAGTGACTATGTTCTGAATGGCAGGGCCTGAAAGAAGTCATCAGGAAACAGCCTTATAGAGAGACAAGAGAGAGCACGTCAGATGCCCTTCACAAGCCAGGAGTGCTTTCTGAGTTCCTGGGCAGCAGTGTGCTGTCTGTAGGTAAGGCAGTGGCTCCTGAACACAATGCTCATGTTCAGAACAAACCTGTAATAGACACATATTGAAAATATCAACCATGCAACAGACTTCAGCAAAACCTTTTAGAAATAAACCTTAAGATTAAAAAAAAAAAAAAAAGGAAAAATCCTAATATTTGATAGTTAATTCCATTTAAAAATTCCAAATGGCAATGTCAGTTTACTAAATACAAAGAGCCATATAGTTTTTAATGAGAGGAACTTGCTGAGCAGCTTCAGAGTTTTTTTGCTGGTGATCAAGTTTTTCACATTTTTTATTGGTACTGTCAGTATTCGGATTAACTTGATTAACTTCGGTCTTTAGGAGCAGTGTTCCAATGCAGACACAAGCAATCTCTTTGTATTTAATTTTGATTACTCACAAAGATTTCTCGATATCCAAATAAATGTTTTCAGGTTAAAAGAGCAGTGTTAAGAACTAACATGAAATTAGATTTAGGCCCATAATATGAAAGAGGTAATTATGCATGGAGAAATGTTCTCTGGGTCATCAAGTCCAGACATTTGCTGCTGTTGAAATGTCACATAAGCCTTTTCATGCACTTCAATCAATTATGTTCATTAATTTATTATAATTTACTATTTGTGAACATTATGAAAACCATGTTAATCTAATCAGTGAAAGTACTTCTCCATCTTTAGTTCATATTAAGCGTCAGTGCCCCAAAAAGAAATCTGTGGTTCACCTTATGTGCATTATCAGAGAGATATTTTATGAAATTAGGTTCATGGCTGTCCAAGCCACTGAATTGCTTTATCCTTTCCAGCAGCTGCCTCTGAGCATACACCAGCAGCGGACTCACTTGTTCTGTGTATCTCTCACTGAAGAAAAGCAAAATATAGTAATTAAGCAAACAGTATATTTAACTATATAGTGTTGCTTTTTAGTTATTAGAGTTGGTGTAACTTACTGTGTAAATATGTTAAATTGTACAGCTATGTGTACTAGTGCTTCCCACTTCTTTGTTTTATATAACAATTCTATTGTTTTAAGAATCAGATTACATATCCATTTCAAGTCAACTACATTCACATCATCCAGGGGAGACTGTGGATGGAGATTAGAACCACCATTCTCATCCATAATACCTCCTAAACAACTGGGAATGCAGAAGTCTCCTTCAGGATCCACAATCTACAGGAAAGAAATATCATTGTACCTGTCATTTTCAAATTTGTTTTTAAGACAAATCATAGAATCATAGAATCACAGAATGGTTTGTGTTGGAAAGGACCTTAAGATCACCTAGTTCCAACCCCCCTGCCATGGCAGGGCTGCATCACACTAGACCATGTCGTCCACGGCTCTGTCCAACCTGGCCTTGAACACTGTCAGGGATGGAGCATTTATCACTTCTTTGGGCAACCTGTTCCATTGCCTCACACCCTCATAGTAAAGAATTTCTTCCTTACATCTAACCTAAATTTCCCTGTTTAAGTTTAAACCCATTACCCCTTGTCCTATCACTACAGGCCTTGATGAAGAGTCCTTCTCTGGCATCTTTGCAGGCCCCTTTCAGATATTGGAAGGCTGCTATGAGGTCTCCACGCAGCCTTCTCCAGGCTGAACAGCCACAACTTTCTCAGCCTGTCTTCATACGGGAGCTGCTCCATCTCCCTGATCACCCTCATGGCCCTCCTCTGGACTTGCTCCAATAGCTCCATGTTCTTATGTTGAGGACACCAGAACTGCACACAGTACTTCAAGTGCTGTCTTATGAAAGCAGAATAGAAGAGTGGGATCAAATTATAAAGATTAAAAAATACTGTAATCCTTGTTACAGAGAATAACTTGCAGATACCAGAATATAATGCAAGAGAAAGTGTCTTTACTGAAGATGTGATAATAAAGAGTATACTTGTCTCAATAAAAATATTTTTTACCTTAAGACACCTGCTTGCTTGTAGTTCAGTTATCATATCAATGATCATGTCTGATGCCAAATAAAACGGCAACCAGATGGTATTCCTAAAGAAATCTCTGGTAATGGGAAAGGTATCCATTTGGGAATGTAAATGGTTAGCAACGAACTGCAATTCTTGAGTATAGTTCCAAAGTTCGCGACAAGCATTTTGAAGCAATGTCCAGTGGCCACCACGGTGAGCAAGAACCTGTGCATACCATTCAAAATATACTTTGGTAATACAGAAATTAAAATCTTAATTATTTAATTGACAAGTTTAGGTATAAGTAATCTTTCAAAATTACAGTCTGTGGATCATCCTTAATAACAGATCATTCAATACTTCAATTTATATAAAGCATTTTAGAAACCTAATTTGGAATTTTTCATAGTAGCACTAATTTATAATTGAATTGAATTGTTGCTTTTGGTGTGAGAATAAAAAATAAGAATTAATTCACACCACATATGCATGTGTTTTTACCTGGTTTTAGAAGAGTTTGTGGGAAAACTGCTCAATATTTCCTTTCAATCCCTGTATATAGTACTGAGGCATTCACTAAGACACTTAAAGGGAAGGGTAAGTCTGCAAGTACTTTCAAAAAGATTTAATAAACAGGAGAAGGAAAGTTATGAAGAGCAAATTAAAAAAATAAAACATTTATATGAATTATTATATGTTGGCTAGAAATACACAATATGATAGGGGATATGTCTATTTCACACACTGTACTCAGATGTTTCGCCGAAGATGAAAAATCCTTGCTTTTTCCCACTGAAGTTTTTTTGAAGCTTCTGAAGTGTGCAGGGTTTTAGCATAGAAAATAGTAAGCATTGTAATGCAATGCTTATTACTAAGTAAAATGTTAAATAAGAAAGTACATCTTACCACTGCTTTTTTTAAATGCAAAAAGATTTTTGTAAAATGCTCCAATAAAATGGTATTTGTCAGGAACTGGTTGCATTCTCTGGGGGAATAAGAGATAGATGTTTCTGTATCATTTGTTGTTTGAGTTTGAGGAGTATTTGTTCCACTTCTTTTAATGCTGGGCTTAAAAGATTTATCTCTACCTGAAAGCAAAAAGTTCACGGGTTAAAACCTAGTTAAAGTTCTCAAAAAAAGAAAAAAGAAAATATTATCAGCCAGCTAGGATTTTTATATGGTGACTAAAGACTTAAATGTTAGGAAATGCCAGTGTTAAGGTTATCATATTTATAAGGTTATGATATTCAAAATATATGATGCTTTCACTTAAGCATTGAGAGAAGCAGGGATAAAAAATATTTTGAGCAAAATAATAACGTGTATCAAATAATTTTCAGTCTCAAAGCCAAACACAACCTTCATGGAAGTTAAGTTTTAGGAAGAAATCACCATGTGGCAAGCTGCCAAGAATCTTTCTGAAACCTCTTAAAAGAAGTTAGGAAGAAGGGAATATTTCTATCAAATTCTATGCTATGTGTAGAATTGCTTCATTATTTTATTCAAACCAAATATCCTCCAGGGGAAACACAAAGGTTCATGGTAGTGGCATACAGTAATATCTTTACAAAGAAGCTAATTTCAAGCTAAAGTATTTGAACTCGATGGCAAACTACACACTTCATGAAATTAATTCATTCGGAATTGCTGCAATAGCCAGATGGTAGTACACAGGGTTTTCATTAGCTTTCAGCAACTTTCTGTGACTGTTCTCAGTGACTTGTAACCATCAAGACAAAAGAGTATAACTAGAAGTCAGCTGTTGCAAAGAGAGCAAGACAATGCAACTACTAGTTTGCCTTGGAAAAGGCCAAGAGGAGGGTTGATTCCTACCTAAGGAAGTCCTACAAGGAATGATAGGAGAATTTTGCTCTCTACAACTATGGCAAGAATGGTTTCCCTGAACTGCTATTAAAAGGACCAGGCCTGAGATTTCTTCTTGAGCTTATGGTGGCTAGGCAGACTACTTTGCATTGACTTATATGTATCACCAACATCTAAGGTAATCAAAGTCCTATATTTCACAGTGCCTACAAACAGAAGCCTGTTGCCTCCTGTTGAAACCCCAAAGGATGTTACTGAATATAGCTGGGATAATAGAACAGACAAAAGGGAAAGACAGAGAAGTGAAGTAAAAGTGGTAGAAGATAAAAAATTGATCCTGAGGTAGCCTCTGCCACAGGAAAACACTAAAAAGCATGCAGTAAAGAAGAAAACCTAAACTATTCTACTTAAAATTTGAAAGATAATAATAAACACCAGTCCATAATTTTAAGAAAGACTTGCTGAATGACCCAGGAAATTATTGACCTGTTAGAAAATCTAAAGGAAACTACAGACCAATTAACAACCATAGAAAATGATAAAAATTATCACTCCATTTAGAATAACCTGGAACATTATCAGTTTAATGAGTCTAGGTAGCATGGCTTCTGCAACCCGAAAGCTAGTATCACTAATTTATTAAAATTTATAAATTTGTTACTAAAGTATAGGATAAATAATAACCACTAGATTAAAAGTAAATAATACAAAAAACAATGCTGAGAGTTATTATAAATAACCCATTAGTGACTATGACTTGGTTTGTATTAGGTATGCCAAAAAGAGAAAATAGGAGGGACACTTCTGAAATCCAGAAACACCTTCTCTTTAAATTGGTATGAGTATTTTTCTGAAGTTGATGTAGAGAATTAATGATGGAGACCAAGACAGAAATGAACAGAAAGAAAAAGTTGAAACTAATTCCAGTTGTGCACCCTTTAAAAGTTCTTACAAGTTTGTTCTTTGGTCATTCCTGATTCTATAATTGCAGGAGGAGTTGGTGTTATGGTATTCTCTATGGCTTCTCTCACCACTACTGTGCCAGAATTATTTAATGAGAATATTTCAGGATCCAAAATACTGTAACTGCAGAATGGGAGAAAGAGAAGTACAATAAAAGCCTCAGATATAATATCAAAATGAATTTCAATATACATACAACAAACTCAGTTTCTCAAAAGTGAGTTTTGATTATTTTTAGCAGCTTTAGGAATCACAAATAATGAATGGTAGACAAAAGTTATAAGGAAGCAAAAAATAGCACAGTATACTATATTTTAGAACTTTTAGGTAACCAGTCAAGTGAGCAACCAAAGATGTGCATGTCACTGGCCAAAACTTGTTACATATTAAATCAGTTTGCATTGGAAAGCTGAACTGTTCATAAGACAAACTGACTGTAATTCAGATCTGTTCTCATTAATGGCAATAACGCAATCAACTATATTAATAGTAGTTACTGATAATGCAGTAATACATACCTGTCCAGATGTTGTGAACCACAAATTCCAATGTTATATTGCTCTTCCAGATTCTTTTTAAATAAGCTGTAGTGTGCAACTGCCACATAGATATTCATCTGAGACCTCCAGGGCATCTCTTCAAGACACATGTGACGAAACTTTCTTTTTTCTATGTAATTACTCACAATTGGTTTCAGCAGTACCACTAAGGTGTGACGAGCTACTTTTTGCAACTCTTCCTTGCATTTCCTAAACCAAAATATATGAAGTAACAAAAAATGAAACTGTGCTTTCTTGAAGCTCTAGAAAAGAAAATTATGGTAAAGATACACAGAAGTATCCCACTGCATATCCACAGACTTTCATTAACTCAGAAGAATGACCTATTTCCAGTAGAAGTATTTTTGCTGCAGCCAAGAAAAGCAATTGTGCTTTCCCTATTGTAAGCGCACTTATAACACACTAAATCCTATCTTAAATTTTACCAACTTCAATAAGATATTTGACTTGATACCTAGAAAAAGTTTAGCTCTGTGTTTGAAGCTATTTGTACCTGAATCATCCACACAGATTATTATAACAAATACAATGTGTTTCAATCTATTCGAGATGGAGGTCCTACTATTATACTATAAATTTGGACCACTCTTTCTACTTCTGTGTTTTGGTAGCTAATCACCCTCAAACATTTTATTTCAAATTTGAATGCCTGGCTTTAATTTACATAGATTTTTTTATGTTTCTCTGCCAGATCAAACAATTCTGTATTACCTGGCACGTATACCGTGGTATAGTCAAATCAGATCTCATTTTTAGTTTTTTTATGAACTGTAAGCTGATACCTTAACCAATCAAAATTATTTTTATTGCCTGTTGTCCACCTTTAAAATGTGCACAGAACAGTATACCATACAGCAATACTATTATGTAGGATACGAAAGAGTAGCTGAAAAGACAAAAAGCCCAGGATAAATAAAACACCCCCTCTTTCACTGAAAGCCATGAAAATCATGTTAAGTTGTTTTTTTCTGTTGAAGAGATAAAATGGGCTGTTTAGTTAAGTATTTAGAAGATAGTATATGGAAGACTTTTTTGAGTTTCTTTATATAAACGCTTCCAGAACCAGCTATGTGATAGCTTGTATTCAGATATTTCTAGTTTTCCACTTGCTAAATGCTCTGAAACTACCTGAACATCAAGAACAAATAAACATTCTTTATAAAATATCTAACAGGGAAGCTCCCCAACACAGTTCGAAAAGCATTATAGTACGAAGATTGACATAGCTTTTCCACCATGATGAATCAACATGCTCAAGCTAGCACAACTGAAATACAGTCTTTGATTATTAATAGAAAAACTTCAAACTCTTCAACAGTTATTCTCCTAAATAGAAATGAGATAGATTTTGTTCTCTTGAGTGGAAGCCAATTTTATATCAAATTAAAACAGAAAAGTAAGTGGACTGTGAACAGCTTCATCCCTTTGATAGAAAAAAGTTTCAAAATATACACTTAATTGTAAACTAAATTTCAGCCAAAATATTTTGGTTCTGTATATGAACCTGACAACTTATGCTCATTTACCTTTGTGCTTCTGGAGATTTCTCTATGCTTGGATGTTTCATGAAATACTGTCTAAGGGTCTCTCCTTTTTGAGTAGGACTCAAAGCTTTTTTTCCTGATTTCTTCAAAGTCGATGCCTCTGGTTTCTTTAAAGGTGAGGTATTTGTCAAAATAAGACAGCAAAAGAAATATTTAACACTCTCGTAAGCTTTACAATTTTTCTAGGTGTATGTCAAATGCCTGGTACTACGAAGCCAACCAGGTCCCCAGGTATTTTCTTTCATATGCCAGTGTTTTTCATCACAAAAATGTTAGTTCCTTTTCTATTATAATAAATAGTAGAACTTTGCAATACAAAAACTGAGCCAGACAACCTTTTCCCTCACAGCATTACTAGAGGGTTATGAGTGAGAAAACTCTTCCTCCAAAACAATACAAATCCATTAAGATTATTTTTAGCTTCCAATAAGAGCAAAAAAATTTAAAATAGTTCTGAACAGAACCCTTTATTGTGCAATTAGAATATCTGCACAAAGAGTTCATCACGAACAGCTACTCATAAAAAAGTATAAGTACAACATATTGTATAAAAAGGCCTGAACTGGCCTCCTTTTCTTAATCTGACAGTACCCAAGGCATATCCTATTAACATACTGAGTTTTTAATGGGAGCTGAGGAAAGGCAAGTTTTCATTGATTTTGGAATGCATTACTCTGACACATCTCAAATTCCTCACAGTTGTCTTTAAGATAAATCCCATGCCAACTTTTCTTCCTGGTTTTAGGAGTGCAGAGGTGAGCTGAGGATTAGAGTTTGTATCCTGACTTTTAATAATTATGCATGTGAGACTTTTTACAAAGTAGGGATAGGATAGGACAATGGCTTTAAACTGAACAATGGGAGATTAGATATTAGGAAAAAATAGGGTGGTGAGGCACTGGCACAGGCTGCCCAGAGAAGTTGTGGCTTCCTCATCCCTCGAAGCATTCAAGGCCAGGTTAGACAGGGCTTTGAGCAACCCAGACTAGTGGAAAGTGTCCCTGACTGTGGCAGGTGGGTTGAAACTAGATGATCTTTACGGTCCCTTCCAACCAAAACCATTAATGATTCTATGATTCTCTGGTTCTCTGTCTCTCCCTGAGGTTTTCATGAGACAGCATTTAAATATTTATTTTTATGCTTTTGGTATTGCTGCTCAGTAAAGACATACGTGACTCCTTGAAAATAAAACTCTCTGAAACACTAACTTACTTTAGTGCCTTTGGGAGAACTTTTTCCTTGTTTTGAAATTCCATTGATAGAGAGAAGTTGGTCATTCCTCCTGACAAACAAATAATGTTAATATCGTCATCATCATCACCATCATGCTATACTCCTTTCATAGTTAACAGGTTATCTTTGGCAAGAGGTAGATCACATGCAATTCCTATTTCATTGGGAGTTTTAAATTCAGGAGGTTTTCTTTCCTAATTCCCTTTCAGAAAATAGGAAGTGCTCACTTTCAATGTTTATTATAGAAGTCTGAATTTACAGGTAACAACTATCTCACTTCCCTATCCTAGTAAAATGTAACAGTTTTCTTCATTACACAAAATCTGCTTCGGAATTCTTCAAAGAACTTCTTCATGCCCATTTTTTTTGGTCTTCTGTAATAGCAATTCTGGTTACCTATATCTCCGTTGATTATTTGCCTTTCAAAGTTTAGAAATACTGGTGTGTGCTTTTTGCAGCTATAGTTAAATTTCTTTGGGATTGTTTTAGGTAAGTGTCTACAATTTAGTTCCACTTTTCAGTACAGAAGTTTTTTAGACACTACAGTAGGCCCTGATCAGTTTGGTTTTGATTTAACTAGCCATACTAAGTTAACCCACTGCCCCATAATAACATGGCAAATGGCCATATTACTAAGTGGTGTCTCTGAAAAGGAAAATCCTGGAAACCACTGGTGGTAGAAGAGACTTTTAAGCAGGCGTAGCCAAGGGCAAAGTCTCCACGTACGACGAGATCACAGTACAGTATTTTCTGCCGGTATATAATCCTTGGTGTTCATAGAACTTCTGCAGACTAAGAGCCATGGAAATGGCTCCAGATGGGTCTTCTACCAGGCACAGTTTACAGATTCTGCTGTAACTGTGACGCTAGTTAACCTAAGTAGTAGATTTCACTACTACTGTAATAGAGATCTACCTTTTCAAGTAAACTTGCACATCTTCTGCCCATTCCAGAACACACTGAAACTTCTCTTCATTCAGGATTTTATGCAAAACTTGAACAAAGAATTCAAGAAAACGTGGATTGCTTCTGAACTTTATCACTGCAATAAAGTAACAAACAATTAACACACGTTTTGTACTTATGCTGTAACAGGTTTCTGAATTCAGCTACAACTACAGTCTCAAAGTACATATTTCTGTCACATTGCATGCTGAGGAGGAGGCATACTGACACTAAAATCAGACATGTCATGATACACAATAGCAGTTGTTAAATACAGTGACCAGGCAACCAGAATCAAAAGTTTACTCTATTTACACTCCTATAATGACAAACATTTTAGGAACTGAGAAACCAGCTTAGGAACTATTTTTGTACCATGCAGTGTATAATGCAAAAATATTTTATAACAATGCCTAATTGTACATATGCCTGAAATCCTGAAGAAAAAATTAAAGCAAGTATAACAAAGTAACTGCATCCTATTCACTTAGGTTGTCCTTTTCAGCGACAGTCACATTAGTATACAAGCATCATATAGATCTCATTGCAGCAGTGGAGCTGTGTTGTCTAGATTTTAGGCAGCTTTTTCATTGTTTACAAACTGCTTTTACTGTTTGGCTGTCTTCATAATTTTTTACCATCAAAAAATAACAAGTATTTCTTCTGTCTGAAAACTACACTAATTTTACAGGCTAGGCTCCACTGTTATTTTGAACACTGGTATTAAAAATATGGTAGTAGCAAATTCCACATACCAGAATTTTAAATCCTATTTCAAAAACACAAGTGTACTCAAATTTTTGCAAATTCCTCTTTCAGTAACATAATTTAATGTTGAAATGTGGTATTTCAATTTTAAAAGAACATTCCACACATACAGAATCTTTAAAAACTTGATACCTTTTTAAAATGAGCTCATTTTTAAGGTATTAAAACATAAAAATTATTCTAATTATTTAATATATTAATATTTTATATAATTAACATCAGCATCTAAAATACTTTGTTGCAAGTATTTCAAACACTTCTAAATGTGACTACGTAAGAATTTTTTTAAGCTATGTTTTACTTGATTTTGTATATTTGAGAACAAAATGAAAAGAGAGTTTCCAAGAGCTTATTCCAAGCAAAAATTAGATAGCTTTACTGGCAAGTTTCTGAAGTAAAGAAGCCTTTACAGTTAAAGTATACACCAATTATCCTACCTTCTTCATAAGCACTGGTTGATGTCCAACATGAAATTACAGGGTGGAGTAACAAAGGATCTTCTTTTCCTGTAAGCTGTGATCCACGAGCTACATCAATAACCAAATCAAATCCATTATGACAAGCAATGATAATGTGCAATAAAAACTCTACCTGGCATCATAACTGAAGACTCTGAAAATCCTTCTTTAGCACAGTTTTCTTTTAAATCTCTCAGTGTCATCCAGAGAGAAATTCAAATGCTTGCTTTTTAATTTTAACATAAAGAGCTGTGCCACTTAAATAATGAAGAGCTTATGGATGTAAGTAAGTGATGAACTAGCTACTAGACTACTGGTTAGAGGTCTGACAAAGGTCTAACAAAGGATGTGCAGTGAGGACATGTCCAAAACTGTATTTAAAGCTATACAGCATGAACTGAACATGATGCTATGAGTGGCTAGTGCTTACATACATGCTCGGCATACAGATAGCATGAGTAGGTAAAAGAATATTTTTTTTTCTTCACCTAAATATTTATATAAATGTATGTATATAAATGTATTTCTATTCTATAAATAATATAGTAGATATAGGTGTAAATAATATATAGAACATACAGACATAAATAATATATAAAATATATAGGAGAACAATAACTTGGATTCCGGCTTCCAAGAGTTAAACACAACTGTGTTACCAGCTGATGAGCACCAGAATAATGTTACATGTGCTAGTTGATATTTTGCCTTATTAAAGAAACATGACCTAAAAGTTTTATTTTAGGCAAGTTCTGTAGGTGAAAAAGATCAATGCAGCTAGTCCCTGAAAAAAGCAACGTTAAAAATGTGCTCTGAAACAGCAGGACAAGTTGATATTTTTTAAAATTTTCTTTTTAGGACAAGTCACACCTTTAATTAGTACTCGGTCCTATTTGTCTAGTTCAAAAATATATTACGTCAAATGAATGTTTTCACAAACAATACTCCCTCTCAAAATTAAAAAAAAAATCCAACCAAACATTTGAAATTTCAGATTTAAATTGTACTGCGTATGAAATAATTTGGTGTTTTTTCAGTTTCTTATGAAATAGGTAGGTTCGGCTCCTTTCCATTTTTCTCATAGACTATCATCAATGGAATGCTAAGTGCCGATCCACTTCTAAGGATTTCCTATAACAAGATTTTTTCCACAATATTTTTAGCATAATACCCTGCAGGTGTGCACATTGTCTTAAATAACTTATACATATTTGTAAGGGCTGCTGTAAGCTTTGTTATTTGTTTTGCATAGCCTCAGCAAAAGAGTCCTCTTTAATTTGTATCCTGAAACTTATCGACGAATATGCTATTTCAGAACAGAGCAGACTTCAACTGTCAAGTATTTGCCACTTACTGAAAATGTGTTCCTCTCTAACTGATCAAGCCATTAATTTAAGTTTCTGTTAAGTAAGAATGGAATATCATTTTATTAAGTTATCAATGTAATTTTCACTTAACAGAATTCATTCATTCTGAAACTTGTTCTACAGGAACGCAGGTGTCAATGTCAGCAGCAAAAGATGATCAATGCACAGATGAATGGAATTTTTGTGTCACTCAACCTCTTTAATACAGGATTTCTTCACACAGAGATGATAGATGGTAATGAGAACATGAGTCAACAGCGTCTCCCTGTAGCAAAAACCAGCTGTGTACTGGGCTCTATCAAAACCAGCACAGCCAGTCAGGTGAAACGATTATTCCACTATATTCAGCGCTTGTGAGATCACACCTAGGTTACTGTGTTTGGTTTTGGGCATTGTAGTACAAGACACTGACATACTAGAGTGAGTCTAGTAAAGGACCACCAAGATGATAAGGAACTGGAGTGTATGACAAAGCAAGAAGTGGCTGAGAGAACTGGGTTTATTCAGTCTAGAAAAGGCTAAGAGGAGTCTACACTTGCCTAATAGGAGTAATATAGAACATGGAGACAGACTGTCCTCACGGATAGCACAAGAGGCAATAAACACAAGCCAGAAATCAGGAAATTCCAAATAGATATGAAGAAAACCTTTTTAATCATAAGGGCGGTCAACTACTGGAAGAGGTTGCCTATAAAAATTGCAAAATCTTTCGTCAGAGACAATCAGAACTTGACTGGACAAGTCCCACAGTAATTATACCTGTTTTGAGCTGGGGGTTGGAATAAATGCATTCCAGAAATGCCTTCCCACCTATATTATTCTATGACTCTATCCAGGCTCCAAGGAGTACAAGATGTCATGTAAATATAATGGAAAGATCAGTAGTGGCTCTATGGTCTAAGTTCTAATCAAATTTTCTTTATAAGTCCTGCTTATTAATTTATCTAACCTTGGCAGAACTTTAGCCTGAAAATTCTTGTGCTTAATCCAGACTCTAAGATAACTTAACTTCTATATATTGGATAATTTATTAAGATAAGTATTAAGATAATTTATTAAGTAATCAATGTGATTTTCAATTAACAGAATTCAACAGAATTCAAGAGAATTACAAGACAGTTAAATGCTAGTATACATGCAATTCCTTCACAAAAAGGAAAATTTCTGTTACTTTTCTTCAGTAACTCTTTTCTCCACTAAAATTTCCTGCAGTGGTCATTACTGCTACCACTGGTAGGGATAGTAAGACATGCTATATACACGCAATGGTCTTTTCCACTGCTTTTTCTGATTTAGGAAGATAAAACAAGCATAAATAACACGCGACACAATTTACACAGATTGGGAAAACGTACTAATTTGCAAAATAGAACAAAAATGGCCATTCCTTTCTAAGAAGGAATGACTGTTTTGGTGGAAATGATGAAAAACATTAATAAAAAGTCATTACACATTACTACCATGTATAAATATGACCCTGAAATTATTATTTTGGATGATTTAACATGGAAGGTATACAAAATAGAAGTACTTTGTACGTAAATAACTTTTACAAATAAACCATAGAAAGTATCCTAGAAAAAAAAAGTAAGAAATGCTTTAATAGTACACCCACCTGGTTTTGTCAGTCTGAGGAGGTGTGATTCAAGAGCATTTAGATTTTCTGTTGCTTTTTCCATTGCAGCTAAATGGGATGTCTTTGCAGAAGTGGTCTGAAATATTTGATACTTAGTTATGAAAACTTTGCTATCACCTAACTAAAACCAGCAGGTCAACAGTGGAGTTTAGGCTAGATCCCAAGTCTTCTAAATCTATATCTGATAAATTCATCAGTACTGTCTTATTTTCTTTTTAAGTGAAATAAAATCAATGTTCATAAATTTTTTAGTACATCTTCAAAAACCTGGCCATGCTTCTACTCTTGATTATGTCCAAGGGAGTGAGTGAAATTGCTCTGCCACATATGTAGTATGTGGCATATATGTGGGAAGTCCCACATACTACAATAACATATTTGAACAGACTGTTTGACAAAATACGTTGGTTTCCAGAAAAAATAATCTTATGTAGATCATTTACTGCCTGCAGAAATCAAAATCTTCCTTTGGAAAGAAAGTTTGGGTTTTTTTCACTTTGGTGAAAATGTAATTTTTCAGTCAGCCCTACTTGGCTCATTATATTAAATTGTTCCTATGATCTTAGAATACTTTCTCTTTTTTTTATATGTGCCTGGGAGTAGCTAACAAACTCAGCAATAAACTGTGGGGAAAATTTTGTCCTGGATCCTACAAATTTTCTTACAGAAACCCATCCCTGTAAACTAATTGACTTTTTGTCCCTCTCTTTAATACATTTCAGTTTCATGCTCACCCTGCTTCCTTTCTTCATCTCTCACTATTCTTACTTTCCTCTCTTTTTCAAATATCCTCTCCAGTAAAACATCTTCTAAAATTATTTAAATAAAAATCAGACAGAAAAGTATGGAGAAACAACACTTTACCCTGGTTTTAAGTTTCAGGAAATCCTCACAACCTGCTGCATCTCTTTGTAATTTAAGTATTAAGGTCTTAGAGGTTGAAAGTTCTTCCTCCATTGAAAAATGTTACTCAGTCTACACAATTGTTAATTTACTCTCTTATTAAGACTCAGTTTCAGACAGCTGCTATACAAACTGAGAGGCTAAGTTTCTTCATCATTTGGGATATTTTTGCTCTTCTTTACTTACAAAATTTCTTAATTATTTTTCCTGTCTAATAAAGCATTCCTGGAAACTATATGTGAAAATCAGTTAGGGATGCTTGTATATCTGCAGGATACTCATGGCTCTGCAATATAGCTAACCCCCCACCAGTTCAACACAATGAGACCCTGTTCCCACTGCCATCTGCAACTGGAACTCTTATTCTACAAGGAAACTTTTACTCCATACAACCACTTCTAAAATAAAAGCTTAAAAAATGTAGCCTTCAAAATAATAGAAAACAATATTTAGCTAAAAGAAAGAATAAAAATCAGAGCAATTACTTTAAATTCTTTGTCATAGTGTGTTTCTTCAGTTTTCATAGCTCCGGACAGGCAGAGTAAGGTTGGTGAGCAATTCAACAACTTTTTCCCGTAGTTAACTATAATTACTGCTAGTTCATATTCTTTCCACGAACGCAGTACCTATTAAAGAATCATGCGTTATATGTTGCTGTTTTACATGACATGTAAGGTTCCATTATCATCTACTTATAATTGTCAAAATGCATGAATATTATAAATAGAAATTAATTACTCAAGTTTCTTTTCATAAAAAACCCCAGCACTATATGCCTCGTAGAATAATTGGAATTGCAGAAATTTCATCTATGTGTCTACTTCTGCTTAACCTACTTCTCTTTTCTGTTTCAGAGAACAGAAAGATTTAACCAGAAGTATCCATTGCTGTGATTGACATTCTTCCTGTTCTTAGGCAGTACTGCTATCAAAGAATATAAAGGGCAACTAAATGATCCTCATTTACCTCTCTGGTATCAAGAGCACATTTGAAAGTCCCAACTGTATTAGTGAAAGAAGTGGTGAAATTTATTTTTTAAATTATGAAATTTATAAATGAAGAGTGTAAGGAATGTTTCCATATGGCTTTATCTGCTTTAGATAGAGCTCTAAAGGCTAAAGTGCTTCTACTATATGCAAGAAAACTTAATGTTAGGATGTTTGTCTTTGAGATACAAAATAAGTATATAGATTACCTTAGGATAAATACAGCACATGGCATGACCACAATTCAACAGAAAACCGTATACCATAGATTAATCAGCAGCATTTGCAATTCACTCATTCTGCTTGCTGTTCTGTATGCTATTCTATTGAAATACTATCTCCAAGGAAAAACAAAGAAATCAGCAGTATCAGCAGATAGTTATTTAGCTGGGGAATCCTACAACAAATGAACATTAGATCAAGGTTTAAAGGTTCTTAATAGGCTCTATTGGCCTTGATAGCCTTCACTTTGGCCCTCCCCCCATGGACCAGGAGCTTTATTTCAGCTCAGACCTGAACCTACCAGCCCTGCCAGGTCCTGTGTGGCAGGGATGCCA